AGACGACGAGGAGGAGGATTGATGACGAGCTATGGGACGGTTGCGGGAGCGGGATCGCTCCTGCTGGTGCTGGTGCTGGTGCTCCGAGCGTTCGCGCTTGTTGGGCTGTCGAGAGGCAGTGCTGGTGATAGTTATCGTAGTCGGGAGGGGAGGAGGGAGAGGTAGAGAGTGCGGGGGGGCTGGGAAGTTCGCGGCATGAGTAGGTGCAGGTTGAGGTTGCAAGCCCGGGGCCAAGGCGGAATTGCTTCTGATTTCCCAAGACCAGTCGGAGCTCCCACTTCGACTGCTGATGAACCCCCCTGCTCCTCCTCCGGCACCGCCGACACCACTGCTGCCGCTGACGCTAGGGGTGTTGGTATAAGTGGTGGGATCGGTGCTGGTGGTGGCAGTGGTGGCAGTGGTGTTGTCAGTGCGCGACTCGGAATCATTGACGGACGAAAAACCGAGGAAGAATGAGCCCGACGAGTCCTCCATGCTGCGTCAAGTCGGGGGCAGGAGGAGTACAACCCATTTGAGAGAGAGTATGCAATTGGGGGAGACAAGATACTGAGTACGAGTAGTAGAAGAGGGTGGGGGGGGGCAAAATGGAAAATGGCGCAAGCCTGATTGAAGGAGCCTGGAGGGGTTGAGGGGGCGAGAAGTGAGTGAATGAGTAAAAGAGTAAATGAGTTACGTGAGAAGTGAGAAGTGAGCAAGTATGGTGTAAAGCTAAGGCGAGAGAAAGGCGATGGAATGGATGGAATGTGGGTGGAAAGTTTATGGCAGATGATGTCATCCCCAAACTTAGCTTCGAAATTCTACCAAATGTTTAAACCGTTTTTACATGTACGTACCGTAGCTGGCTCAAGCCACCTAAAATGCTGATCTACATCCCTTTCAACCATGCAATCATGTTGAGGTAGTTGCTCGATCGTCGGGATGCTACTACAGAAAAAAAAAAAAAAATAAACAAAAATACAAAAATTATATTGAATCAAATTAAATTAGAATTAAGCTACTGTAGAAGCTACTCACGGAAAGTTAAAATGAATTGCTTAGTATACACTTTAGAGTGTACGGAGTAGCTCCTCCTTCTATTTCAAACCATTCTCATTGCATTCATTGAAGTCTTTCAACGCAGACTGCACAGAACTCTGTGGTCAAGAACACGCCTATAAGAGGGGGTATTTTTGGTTAAATTAAATCAAAGGGGGGAGAGGGAATATCAGCATCGTCCTCAAACATCGGCAATAACAACAATAAAAATCTCATTCATCTCCGTATCCGCCCGGAAGCAATATCATCTTTGCCCAGGCTCAAGCTTTCATACCGGTCCAGCATCTCAAAAAGACTGGGCGCCCCCTCTATAAGCCCACCATAGCGTTCATCCGTCCCAAGCTTACCCAGTCCCTTGGCGTATTCATCCCACCGGGAGGGCGACGTGGACTCTTCGTCGAACAGCGCCTTGAGCTCATCCGAAGCGAGATTCGATCCCCGCAGGTGCTGGCCTTGGCCCCGGGCGCGTACCGTCTGACGGAACATGTGGAACAGACTTCGACCCAACGGGGAGCGACTAGCAATGCTAGAGAAGGAGCTGGCTAAGGAGAGAAAGTCCTGGTCAAGGATATCAAAGGACTCGGGGTCGAGCAACGTGAACAGGGCCAGATTGATCGCGTACAAGGCAAAGTGATGCGCGCGGCTGACCCCGTATTCGCGTCGATGGAGGAGGGTCAGCGCAGATATGGCACGTGCGGCAGACTGCGCAATACTGGGGGCACGGTACTTCAGGAGCGGACTGCAGCCTGGTGGACTCTCCGGCGTTTGGGGGGCTTCGGAGCCAGGACTGCGTTCAGTCCTTCCGGTGCTGTGGGAGAATAAACCGATGACCAAGGTATGGTAGCGCATTCTGAGACTGTCGTCAGCGAGAGGTCATTCCGCGCGTGTCGGACCTTTCTTCGAACACACCTCAGCAATATGATATAAGGGGGCGGTCTACGGCATGGCTCAAACACGTCCGGCAACGTTGCGTACCAACCACGAAGCCTTTCGAAGAGCCGTTCTTTGGTCCTATGCTGATGCTCAACAGACACCACGCCCGCGTCGAGCGAGAAAAGGGTTTGAGAGATGTCTCTGGCGATTTCGCAGAGATCACACGAGTGATCGAAATACTGGCTCAGATAGGAAGCCCGGGCGGGTCGGTGAGAAGGGTATGGCACCCACAGGTTCGAATCCTCTTGGTGATGTTGGTCCGGTCGCTGGAAGTTGACTTTGTCTATCAAGCTCGGACGTAAGAACTCGGCATGCACAACCCTAAGAAGACAGCTCAGACCCCAGAATGTCAGCGGCAAACCGGGATAGAACGACTCACGTATCGATATGAAATAGGCCCCAGGCTGATCGCTTGACCGAGATCTCCATATCGCCGGGCAATTGCCCTGGGATGAGACCAGGGCTCCTCGGACCGACTAACCCTAGGGAATGACCGGTCTGGATGGCTTGATGGAGCATGCGATACCCAAGGTCATCCTTGCCCGACATCGAATACCTCGAGCATCGGTTACGCGTTGAGTTCGATAGTGACCGGTCAACCGACTTACCTCTCGTATAGCAAGAGTGTGCCTTGCAAGTAAGCCAGGCTCAACTTCACAGGTTCTTCCTCCCTCAAACGTTCCGCTTCTGCCAGGAAATCGACTCCCTTGGTCACAACATCCCCCGGATCGACGTATGCCTCGGAGTAGTCCGAAAAGTGCTGCATAGTTCCCTCAGTCAGTCTGCGATCGTAAGCTATCCGAGAGGCGCGATAGTTCAGCATTGATATTCCGTCTGAGTTATTGTCTAAAGCGTCGGCCACTGGAGGCAGAAAGAAAGAGCGAAACAGAGAAAGATAAAAAGGGAAAACTTACGCATGCATTCGTGAGCAGAGCATTCACCAGGAATGGGCTGCAGAACTCCGACTCGGGATTGGCCCGTCGCATATGCTCGAGGAAGACATCGCGGTCGAGGAAGGCATGAAATGGATAGTCCCAGGTGAAATACAAGGACACCAAATGTGAGACGAGGTCTGCATCCTCAGTCACTGTTGTCCATGGTCTGGCGGGGACGCGGTACGGCACCTCGTCACAAAGATAATGTATATCCATCACCTTGGGGCGAAAAGAAGGCCCGGCCCCTTCCACGTCAATCACGCGGCGGACCTCCTCCAGCTTGCACCCGGCCTCTTCCTCTACCTTGCTGTCTCCACCATCCTGGCCCAAGATCTCGTCAATGAACGCACGGATCTCCTCGGCCGAGGCATCATTCCGGATGATCTCCAGCAGCTTCAACCCGTAGGACTGATCCTCGGCGCGCATCACCTTCAGCAGGTCATTCAACATGTCCCGATGGTAGCTGAGCTCATCTGCGGTGCGCTTGGCGGCCACTCTTCGTCGCTGGTCCAAGGTCTCATCGAAAATACACTGTCGGTTGAAGGCCCGGCAGTTATCACACGGCGGCACTCCAGAGCACTGTCAAAGGTCGTGTTCTATGTCAACAACGGCTCCTTGCCGGGACGGTTGGGGGAAAGGCGTGGCGAGCAGCTGCTACATTCCGCTGATGGGGTGATAACATTTATTCAACCGACACAACTTATAGATGCAGTAGCACACGCAGGTGGGGGACTCGCCTTGCGTTTGGACTTCTTGCAGGCCAGACATGCCATTGACACTCGTTTCTTTGAGCCATCGCTGGAGGTTGGAAAAGTTCTGTCGGGCGAGCTCTCCCGCGACGGAGGTTTCTCTGATTTGCTAGGGGAAGGTCCGGGAGCAATCTGGCGGTGTTGACTGCCGAATTCACTCATCATGCCCCGATTGAGACTATTGGTGGTGGTGGTGATGGTGGTGGTGTGGTGTAGTGCGGTGCGGTGCGGAATTGTACATACAATGCAGATCTGGTCGGTACAGGGCACGCGGAGTCGAGGAAGGAACACGAGCGGCCAAAGAGCTGCCTACCCTGTCGGAAAATCTCTTTCTCTGCTGAGACATGCGGAGACTTCCAGTTGACCTGGTGATGACGTACAAGTTCAAGGTACCACCTACGTTAGAGGCGTCAGGAAACCTTGTCCGAGCATGAAAGGTCGAGCGGGGGTGAATTGTAGCCGATTATGCATGGCTGCAACATGCCAATCACCATGGCACATCAGGGGAGGAGTATCCGCTTCGAGATGGAGGTGACGGAGGTGACGGAGGTGACGGAGGTGACGGTGATGACACCTGAGGCCATTCATGGCGTGTGGTTCTGCTGTGGTTCTGCTGTAGTTCTGCTGTGGTTTTGCTGTCCGTCAAGCAAGTTGATTGCAGCTTGGAGAATCCGGAGAAAGTGTCCAAGACCTACGGGAGGTGGAAGCCAGTTCCGGATGGGATGAGTCGGACAATCACATGTCAAGTCGAGACCAGCCAAAAGAGCCAAAGTAATGCTCATACTTGAAAGAATGCTTCGAAAAACAAGGATGGATCGGAGGTACAAACTTAATTTTCGGAAAACGAAAAATGGAAAACGGCATGGGCTGAAGAAAGATGGATGGAATCAAAAGAAGAATTGGATATTACGTATGGTGATATCTCCTAACTAACTAAACCTGGTCTACAATCGGCACTTTTCTCCTGGGAATGCCACCTTGGACCCAGCAGGCTGGCGCCCCCAGGAGTGGCGTCCGAATGCTCCCCTATTAAACAACACTAAATAACAAGACGGACATATGCAGACCTCAGGCAGAATGGGGAAGGGAACAGAAGAGAGCAGGTCGCTGGATAACTAAACTAGAAGTTTGACTCCCGCCTCGAAGCCATGGTCGTGGTGGAAAACTACCTGGAAATATGTGAATCACAACATCTTTTCAATCAGAGAAAGTATGATGCAGACAAGAGAGAAACACGCGCCCCCCCCCCGCTGCTAGTATAGACAGATCTATCAGTCCATGCCAGTTCCGCCTCTGAGTCCCCGGACCATTGGGGTGAGAATTGAATCTCCAAACGTCAACCGCCCATCTAGTGCTCCAGGATACGCAGGCTGCCCTGCACGACACAGTTCTCGAGCACAGAGCCCGGGGGAACGTCAATAGTGCTGCCCTCGGTGGCAACAATGATGACGGTACCCTTTAGCGTCACGTTGCGACCCAAGTTAACAGCACCGGTGATGGTGAGGTGGTCGAGCTCGACAATGCGAGGAATGCTAGGGATGTGCTTCTGGAAGTCCGAGACCTTCTTGAAGTCGGAACCGAGCTTGATGACGGGAACACCACCGAAGCGGTTGGGGTCCATGACCAGCTGGCCGTGCTCCAGGCGGTAGAGGTCGGACTTGACCAGCAGGAGGTCCGAGCAGGTCTTGACGGGCAAGAAACGACGGCGAGGGACGTTGACACCGTGAGCATTCTTGAAGTGGCGGATGGCGGCACCGACGGCAGTCTCCAGCTGGTAGATGGCCTGGTCGGCCTCGCCCTTCTTGTCCGCGGCGATGGACTTCTCGTTGGCGATGATCTCCATCTCCAACTCGTTCTCCTCAACAACCCGCTTGATGGCGCGGAGGTTCATCCAGATGTTGTTGGTGTTGAAGTACTTGAACTTCTTGATCGACTTGAACTCGTTCACGTGCTCCTTGGGCACCTGGGCGATTTCGAGCAGGCGGACCTTGCCCTCGTAGTCAATGATGGTACCACCCTTGACGTCGGCCTTGGTCTTGTCGGTCAACTCCATGATGTACTCGGACTGAGTGTCCACCATGTGCTGCAGGATGCGGAGATCCACGACGGCACCCAAGTTGTCAGCGTTGGAGAGGAAGATGTACTCGACCCCGCGCTCAAGGAGCTTGTCGAGGGTACCAGAGTTGTAGAGAGACTCGAAGACGTCACCGTGTCCGGGGGGGTACCAATCCTGGAGAGGAGCATCGAAGGACTTGGGAGCGGGGAGGAGGGAGTCCTTGATGATACGGGGGTAACGGGACTGGTTGAAGGTGATGATGTCGACGTTGTGGCCCTGGTACTTCTTGATGATGGACTGAGTGTCCTGGTCGGTGTTGAAGGAGTTCATCAGGACGAAGGGAACGTTGACGTTGAAGGTGCGGTTGAGGTGCTCGATCTGACGGACCGAGAGATCCAGGAAGGACATGCCCTCACGGACCTCAATGACGGACTTGGGGCCAACGCATCCCATGGAGGTACCCAGACCACCGTTGAGCTTGACAACCGCCAGCTTGTTCAGGAACTCGACCGAGGCCTCGGCGCCCAACTCATCGTAGCCAACCACCTGAGAGGGCTGGGGGGGAGCGATGCGGTCCCAGTTGACCTCGTTACCCTTGGCCTTGTCGTTGAGGAACCTGCGGAAGAGAGCGAAGAAGTTGTCCATCTCAGCCTCGAAGCGCTTGCGCTCCGTGGCATCGGGAACAGTCTCGGCGAGGGCGTTCAGGGCGTTACGCATCTGAGAGGCAGCCACGCTGGTGGAGGCATTTTCAAAGGCCTGGATATCCATGCTCATTAGTATCGAAACTATGGAAACAATGGCCGCAGAAGTCCAGAGTGCAATTTTCCGTTGCCCCATTCGCAGGTAGTAGACAGACTGGGCAGCTCTTTGCAACAGCCCTAGAAAGTGGAAGTTTGTCCAGAAGAGGGCTTGCCAGGCCAGACGAATGAGGAGACGGCTGGTCAGGAGATCCCGTATCTGACCCGAGCCGATGACCTGGCAGAAAAGGCTCAGGATGTCCAAGGGGGAAAATCGCTGCGTTCTGTCGAAGAACACAGCCAAAAGAAATAACAGAAAAGTGCGGCCGAAGCGGGTATTGGTGATGGTTTGACAAATCACAAGTAGCCGCGCGAAGTACAGCGCCTCTATGAGAGTGAAATAGAACAGGAGTGGATAACAGCACGAGGAGCAGGTCAAGGTGAGGCAATCAATGAGGGGATCCCAGTCAACCAACGCCCACAAGCCGAAAAGGGTGGGTGGTAACAGGGAGGCCGAAATGATGATAGGTGCTCTAGCGAAGGTTCTGTGGGTGATATTGTAGGCGATAAAAGCAATGAGAATGAAAGGCAAAGCCCAGAAGGCAACGGTACAGTCAAGGACTGGCATTTGCCTGAAGGCAATATGGATATGCGATATGATGGTGGTGGAGAGGATAACAGTTGTGAGAGAAAAGAACCAGGAGATCTGGTGTCATCCACTACCACGCCAGTAGCAGGCTGCTTGGTCTGGCAGGCGCACTCTTTTCAATGCACTTTCCACCTGGCGGATGGACATTTGGGACGACACAAGGCAAGAGCACGATAACGAAGAATCAAAGTCGAACTTACCATGTGAGACTGGGACTTTCCGTGGTGCTTGCCAAACGAGCCGGAGCTGGCATCGCCGGCAGGAGCTCTGAGGTGAGTGGGCAGAGCTTTGGAGGCCATTGTGAAGGTAATAATTTTGGGGAGGATGAAGAAAGAGAGAGAGAGAGAGAGAGATGAAGAGAATGAAGAGACGAAGTTGTGAGGAGGGGAGGAGATGCGAGGAGGTGGAGGACAGAAAGTTGCTACTGTGGATCCGCGACAGTTGGGTTAGTTTAGGTACCTTAAGATGTAAAGGTGTGTATCAACAGCAGCTGAAACCGGGAAGTCAAAGTGGTTCAAAGTGGTCCAACGGGTGGTCCTTCTAATGATGATGATGGAATCTCGCCACGACGCCCGTTAGGGGGTGTGTGTCTGTGTGTTTGGGTGCATGTCAATCGCATTGGTAGGTTGGATAAAGGGCTGGTCGATGTCGACAGATTGCCGTCATGGACCCAACTATTGGTGCGACAAGAACCACCATCGACCAGGGGAAGAGCGGGGGAATGCGAAGAACGGAAGGGAGGAGGGGGAGTTCAGGGAGCTTCAGAGTACTGAACTGTACGGTACTTACTGGAGAGTGGAAGATAGAGGAGGGGGAGGAAGAGGCGGAGGAGAGATTAGAGATGATGAAGGATTCAAGAGCAGAGAGGAAAGCGAAAAAAACTAAAGCAAGTCAACCAGCTTGGATGAGGATGAGAGGTTATTTATTAGTATTCTTTTTTTTCTCCTTCCTGGATCAATGATGACGATGTCTTAAGTCTGGCTTTGGGTTATTTATTTTCGGCGGGACAAAGTGGGGGTGTGTGGAAGTGGAAGAGGGGGAGAATTTCCAGGAGAGCAGCAGATTATGGATACCGAGTCATAACCAATCTTACACTAATCCACACTAAACCGTAGTCTCAGGGGAAAGGGGCCCGTGACAATACCTGACAGGCTGATAGGGACAACTGAAGGACTTGCCCAACAAACTAACTGGAATGTTTCTTAACTTCCTTGGTCTGGAGGGGCAGCGAAAAGAGGGGCGCTATTCTTAGTAGCTTCCAGTAGTTGTTCTTCTCTCACTTCTCCCAGTTCACCACTGCCCAGTGGCCCAGTAGTCCAGTGGTCCAGTGGTCCAGGCTTGTTCCCTCTCAGTCCTCCTCAGCTCTCCCTCTCCCTCTTCCACTTCACCAGAGCTAAACGCCATTCCAAGCAGTTAACCACTTAGTCACCTTAGTCCAGACAAGGATCCGTGACAGAATGATCGGATTCAATACACCCCATCCATCCATCCATCCATCCATCCGATCTCTTCTCTCCTCGTCGATCGAGATACACATACACATAGCCTACCGATCTACCCCTCCCTCGTCTAAACCAAACCAAACCATCAATTGAATTCCAGGGCACCGACAGACAGCATTGCAGATGAACAACTGTCATGCAGTCTCATCCAACACATCCCACACCCACAACCTCCCTATCTCCCTATGAGTACGTAGTGCTCCGTACCCGAAGACATCATCTGACAGTTGGTGCTTCTTTTCCATCCCCTTCTAGACCCATCAGTGCAGCAGTGCTTTGATCACTCTCTTCCCCCCCCCCGTCTCCCTCCCCCCCTTTTTCTCAAATTCAGGGTTCAATCTGGCTTGCCCCACCAAAAAGACCTCGTCACCAAACTGGAGTTGAATTTAAATGAGACCAGCAAGCTACGTAGTCGACTACGAGTCTAGCTCCTGAAACTCTTCTTTCAGAGTAACTAGACTGCGGACAAAGGAGTACTGTGAAAAGAAACAGCAGTTAGAACCTTCCAGCTGCCAAATAACCTGCCAAACCCTCGCACAAACTCATGTAGTATATAGATCACGAATCCTACTCCGCCCATCCACAACCACATCCACCCGACAATCATCTTATCGGCCAGAGCTCGGAGTTCCAGAGCCCAGAGAGAAAGTTCATAACCAACCCTACTAGTAGTAACCCATCGCCAATATCATCAACATCAACCCCCCCCTAAGCCGTTGATTGATCATTGATCAAGTCTCACTCTCAAATCAATAGATCCTCTCCACAACAAGACATGTTGAACATTCATTTCTAATAATAAAACCGTCTTCGGTCACCCCCAAAGATGTAATAATCAACCGAACATCCAAAATTCTACGGCAACGAGACAGCCTCCAGCCTCGAGCCTCGAGCCTCGAGCCTCCTCCCGATTTAATTTCCCATGACAGCGACAGCTTGAGTAGGAAACTAAATTCTCCTATTTTTCCTGACCTGACTCGACACAAAAGACTCGACAGTACAAAAATCCACGGCGGAAACCCCCTCCTTTCAAAATTTCGTCTCGACCGACTGACATGCACTACACCACAACTTCCCGAGTACGAGTCCAATAACTTACTCTGTACATGCAAGTAAAAAGGGAAAGTAAAAAATGATACGTTTACCTACTCATGTAACTCCGTACTCCGCGGACTAACAACCACAATCACAACCACACTCCCGAGTAAAAAATAAAAACAAGAACCATACTCGAGTCAAATCAAATCAGAGTAAAAAATCATCACGACTACGTACGGTAACCAAGATGAGGAACCGTACAGCTCCTAAGTTAGCAGTCCCAGAGACGCTAAGGAGAAATAAAGAAAAAGGGATAAACAAGTGCCAAATCATCCATTAATTACCCCTTTAACACAGATCGGCTTTACCATAGTAAATCAACTAACTTACTCCGTTAAAAAAAAAAAACCAAACTAATGTATGTATGTCAGTCCAAAACACGATACGGACCACCGTTGCTCGTTCTCTCTTCCGGTCTCTCGCCCGCCGCCCTCGCCCGCCGCCCTCGCCCGCCGCCACCCGTTGCCTTTGCCTTGCCTTAAGGAGATAGGTAGTTAAGTGACAGCTGGCACTGGCGCTGGCGGCGCCCGCCATCCACGTTGGGCGCCACCTCCCTTGCCTCATGTACTGTATATACGTATATAATTACCCCATACCATCTACTTATGCCATTCATGCAAAGGTATCGCAGAGTAGAAGAAGACGTCGATCGGCCTGGAAATACCTACCTACCCCTCACCTGAAGGGGCAAGCAAGTACGCCCTCAGCAAGCTGAAAATACAAGCAATGTCCCCTCGTTGACTAGTGTAGGTAGTCATCGATCTGGCCAGGAAAGTCTAGAAAGAACATCTGCTGCCCCTGTAAAGTGGATTGATGAAATGCCCCCACTTGGTCAACAATGGCGGACGGCTATCGTCCGGCGCCATCGAATCCCTCCCTACAGACTCACAGAGATGGCCAAAGGAACCTTCTTACACCTCTAACCGTTCACATACTGAACAAACCGATATAGAGATATAAATAATATATACAAGCAAAACATAGCAAAATAGCAAAGCGTCTGATTCAGCCGCCCCCGAGTATTCTCATTATCCAAACGCTACGCTAAGTGGGCAAAACACCCCAAGGATAGGTATCACATCTTCGTCCATCTCGAACCAAATGCAAAAAAAAAGAAGACATAGAGATAGAAAAAGCGAAGCAAAGCAAGATAGTATATGAAAGAAGAGCGAAAATAAAGAAATAGTTCAGGTCGTTAAGCAATAGCAACAAGATAAGAATCTCCCATCAAGCTCCGCTGACGTTCCGCTTGCTGAGGAAGCTGCGTCGACCGGCCTTCTTGGAATCAGGGCTGTCCATCACCTCCGACGCGGCATCGTTCGTGTTGGAGTGCGCAGTGCCGGGCCGAAGAGTGGATTCCGTTACCGCAAAACTGCTCCGGAGTGTGACCGTGCCACTGCCCGCCTTGACCGACTTGTCTTGTCCAGCAACAGATCCCTGATCGTCCACGAAGAAGATCCCTTCACCCAGCACCGTGTCCGACCCAAAAGTGGCATGGTCAACCACTCGCACCTGGTACTGCGCATCAGCAGTGGTGTTATGCACCCGACAGGTCTCATGCGACGGGTCATAGAACACAGGTCCACCACCCGTCTTGTGGGCCTTGGTCTTCAGAACATCTTTGGCGCCTTTGGGGCCAACCGCCTTGATAAACACCCGCACGTGTGCGTTGGGCGGGTATCCGCTTGCAGAAACAATCGAGATGGTGGCCGTGCCAGCCTCGCCCTTGCCGTTCACCCCAAGTCGGTCCCCATAGTGAGAGGCGACGCTGCGGCTGCGCGCGTGCTGCAGTTCGTTCTTCGGGGTAGAGCTAGGCGGTGTCTCGCCCTCCACAAGGACAGCTGCCGGGGCGAGGCTACTTTCGGCCGCGGGGGCTTCTTCGGCCTCTTCCACAACCTCGTCTTCCGCACGGAATCGTGACATGAGACCATGCTTCAGGAAAGACGCACCCTTGATCACATTGCCACCAACGAATCCCACACCCTTGACGGGGGCGCCGACAATCTTGCCGGGGGTGGCGAATGTGCCGTGGAATGTCGAGGACCCTTGTCGCGACCGGACCACATAGGCCGGTTTGAACAGCAGCTTCAACCGAATTGCACCGGACTTGCCATCGAGGGGGTATGTCACTTCTTTGCTCTGGAAAGGTTCCAAGACCTGAAGATCGATCGGTGTTCCGCCCAGGTAATCGGCCTTGTCGCCGAAGTCCCAGTCGTACACATCGACCCGGAAAGACGCTCCAAGGCGGGACTTGACAGGAGCTTCAAAGAATTCATTCCAGGCCGGGTGGAGCGTTTTCTTCTGTACCTTGGTCTTGTACACCATCTCATCATTGAGGCGGAACTTGCAGTACGGGTCACTGTAGCCGTTGCGGTCGGCCGAGGGGAGATCGGCGGCATCCATGACGTCCACCCGCAGAGTACCCATGTTGTTGATACTCTCAGTGGGGTCGAGCTTCATCTGGACCGGGATGTACCGGGCACTGACAGTGATCTTGCTGATTTCTCCGTCATTGGACCGAAGGACCAACTCAGTAGGGGTGTACAGAATTCGCTGCAGAGTGGAAAGCGTATCACCCGTCAACTTGGCGATCGTGTGATCGTCGCTCTCATCCTTGGTGTCTTTTTTGTCGATGATGCGCATCGTGATCTTGGAGAATTCGAGCTCACGAACGAATGCGTCACCAACATCCTCAAGCTTGGCTGCCTTCGTACGGAGCTTAGGAGAGCTGTACGCAGGGAACATGTAATCGTCCATCAAGATTTCCACCTGGACATTGTGTCGGGAAAGCTGAACCTCGTGAACGTTGAACACCAGGAAGCCGCACTCGTATTTGGGAAGGTCTTCCACAGCGATGTACGTCTTGGGAGCTTCCTTGATTGATCTGATGGACATCGTCTCCGAATCCTTGGCAGTTTGCGGGCGAGTTCCGTTTGTATCGAGGCTAGCACGGCTGCTTGCAGCATCCGCATGACCGTTCGTAGTAGTTCCATTGGTGCCATTGGTTCCATTGGTTCCATTAGGAGCAGCAGAGGTCTTGGAATCGATGCTGGCAGACTTGGAATGTCCGGCCGCACTCTTGCGCTTAGACTCCGTGCTTTTCCGACTCAGTTCCGTACCCTCCGTCTCGCCATTAAGATCATCCGATTCCTCCTCGGACTCTTCTTCGGGGTTGACAACAGGAAGAGCTGGATAGAAAGCCACGGAGTAGTTCAAAGTTCCTTTAGGTGAGCCGTTCCCAAGACGGAGGCCGCTGGAGATGAGCTGCTTCTCGTCATCAACTTCATATTCGCCATTCTCATTCTCCCGAACGTAGTCGCCAGCTTTGATTTCTGTGGCACCTAGTGATCGATCGCTGTTGATGGTTTCCTCATCCATGACCTCTAACGTGATCTTCTCGCGAGAGCTGTGGATAGGCACATAGACCACCTCGTCCCACTCGGGGTTCAGGTTGTTCCTGAATGTGACGGTCCGTGCTTTCGTGTAGCCGGAGATCAAAACCCGTACGTAAGGATCAGATTTGCCCATGGTTTCCAGGTTTCGAAGATTGGATGCACTCTTGAAGTGAAAGCGCATGACACCAACGGGATCAACGTATCCAGCGCCATGGACGCCACCGACGGCCACCGGCTTCCAGTCAAGGATCAGCTTAGCGCGGCCCGTTTTAGCACCATGAAGATGGAACCATTGTTGGCCCTTTTCCATCATCTTCAACATGTCATTCAGCTTGATTTGATAGGTACCGAGAATGGGATCCTTGCCAAGGTCACGATCATCCTTGATCACGAGACCAAGGCGTGCGCTCTTCCTGTCCGTAACCAAGAACTCCTTCGCCGCGTTCTGGAAGATGGGGTTGTTGGTGCGCTTGAGCTTCTTCGTAATATGGATCTCCTTGCCGTTCAACAACAGGACACCGTACGGATTAAGCTGACCGACCAAACTCTTGGACGCATCCAAGTCCTTGGCTTGTTCAACAATGAACCGAGCAATACCAGTGTTCATCTCAGGTGGCGGCTCAACCTGACCATTCTCCAGCTGTCTACCACCCAGGACGGGGAAGAAGCGAATATCTGCGTGAACTGCGCCACGAGATCTGCCGCTAGCCATCACCTCAAGGAAGAGACCCTCATGTTCCGGCTGCTGCTCCAAGCGATCAAGCGGGAAGGTTGCGGTTCCCAGTTCCTTGTCCTTGCGGAACTCGTTCCAATCGTAGGGGATGATGGTCAAGGATTCAGCGAAAGAGGTGATGATTACATAGATGGTCTCATTCCATCTCGGGCTGTCCGTGTCATGGATGGTCTTAGTACGGCCCAGCTCGACGCGGTTGTTCAAGGTGACGACAGCGTATGGGTCCGGAGTACCAGCAAAAGCATCGGGATTCTTCAATTGGCGAGCGCCATGCAGCGTAACCGCGACCACACCGATGGCCTGGTCGACAGGGTTGCCGGCCAGCATCTTCGCAATTTCAATCGGGAACACGTTGGGGGCATACATCATCGGACCGAGATTGTTGTGAATCTGCTCCTTGATGAAAGTCTCCAAACCAGGAATGAAGTTGATATCGAAACCAAGGGTATCACCGCCGAGAGGCTTACAGACGTAGTCGATTTCCGGTCGGTCGAGGAAGCAGACATCCACCCGCTCAATGTGAGGGAAGGGAATTTGCAGCTTGACCTTCACGCGCATCAACCCGCTACAAGCCATGTCTTCCACAATCACATCCAGACCCTTGCTGACCACACCCTTACCCAGTCGGACTTCCAGGACGACCTTCGGGTTAATCTTGTTCTTTAGCTGGCGAGCAGTAAGATCCATAGTGTCGTTGGGTGTGAAGCTGAATTTCCAGTCCATGATAACGGTGTCGACTTCAGTCTTGGGGTACGTTTTGACGTGCTCCAGTCGTGGCGGCTTCGAACCAAGGATGAAAGTCTTCAAGCGAAGACTATCGAGCATCGCGGGGGTTGAAGTGCTGAGAACCTGATCCACCGAGTTGATGATCGTATCGCAAAGAACGGGAGCGTAGATGGGCCAGAACTTGACCAGGAAACTGTTAATCCATTCCAAACTTTCGGTGTCCGTTTCCAGTCGTTGCTTCGCCATTTCACGATTCACATCGTCCCGGAAGTTTCGACGAACACGCCGAATCGAAGTCCGATAGTAGGTACTGCAAGCGGCCATGATGATAAACACCCAGGCCAGTCCGCCGCCCAGCACGGCAACGACCCAGGATGCGAGACAGGCGAAGACGATGACACCGGCATTATGATACCAATCTAGCCCCAGCGTTAGCTCCGCCACTCGTGCGCGCGTGAGGATCGGCTGCAGTCCTTACCTCCGAAAAATTTATCATCCAGTTTTCCTTCCAAGAGTGTTTGGTGATCTAGCAGGGTTCCCTCTTCTTTCTCCTCTTGTGTCGGCTGGTGTTCGAACTGTGGGGCCCAGCCCGTCCGGTCGCGTGCCCATCGCAAGTCTTCCTCCGAGGAAGCCTCTCCATTGGTCTGCGCTGTCGCATCTTTCTCATCTTCCTTCAGGATGTCGGTTGCGGATCTTGGAGGGGGTAAATCGTATTGGTCGGGCGTGCCGTCATCCTAAGTAGCGTATGTGTTAAGTCAACTGCTTCATAAACGTAGGATGCTGCGAAAATGATCAAACTCACCTTATCCGTGATAATAGCGACGCCTGTTGGTTTATGCTCGTGGTGAAACCCGGGGGGCAGCCGCTGCGAATAAAGACACCTGTCAGTTACCGGAGACCCTGTCGATTCAGAAATGAAGGGGATCTTACAGCTCTAGCGGCAGCGGCTTTGGCCTCGGGAGACGCATCCGGGTCGAACTGGTAGGCTGGTACGCCCGCCTTCCGGGTCTCTTCGACTAGAGTCTTCTCGACATCCTCTGCGCGAATATCGGACTGCGGATCTTGTGCGGCATTCTGGGCCACCTCAATGGCACCTTGTTGCCGCAATTCGTTCTTGCTGCCTTCTACGTCTTGCGACGCCATGGCTTTTGGAGGGTGGGGAGATGAGGAGAAAACCTCGGGGAGGGGGATGGTGAAAGATCACCTATAGCTTGAGTCCCCAAGCGGCACAATCTGAGTTTATAAGTCAATTGGGAATCTGTTCGGTTGTAGAGTATGGCGGGAAATAGTGGTCAAAAGAAAAAAAACCATGTAGAGAGAGGAAAAAAGAGAAAATGATGAAGCGGGGGGTGGGAATTGACAGAGCGAAAGAAGCTCCTGTCAATGGGAGTGAAGCGACTTGCTGGCGCTCGTCCTTTGAGTGGTTGCCTTGGCCTCCGCGGCGGGGAGGTGGCTGAAGCAGTGGACGGCAGCGGCAGCTGCTGCTGCTCGGGAGAGGAGCTCCTCGGTGAAGCTGAAGGCTGGTAGGAGGTCCACTAAACCCCAAACCCAACCCGATTTTTTCAGGAACAACCAGCAGGATACGTATCAGGAGTTGGTGGAGTTGAGGAAGGGGAAGAGGGGGCAGGTGGGGAGAAGTATTGGAAAAAGAACGAGGAGGGGGAAAGAGAATTAAATTAGACTTGCTTACCTTAAATTGTGAACTGGGATGAAAGAACCGAAGTTGGAGAGGGGGAAGTAAGTTACATAGGTAAAGGAAAGAGGGGAAATCGAATGATGAAATATGGAATAAGAATAGGAATAGGAATAGGAATAGGAATAGGAATAGGAATAGGAATACGGGGGAACCTCACAATGGCAGCACACAAAAGCGGCCGGCCGCGGCGGTCATGATTGACTACTGATTGACGCCAATTGCTGGTTGATGACGAGGAGAAGATACGGAGTCCGGAGGGTTCCAGCGCGAACGGATTCAATTCACAGCGGAGCCACTTGCGTCAGAATAGGCAAGCAGGCAGTTGGTTGTTCTACAAGTACTTCAGTTATCGGCTTTGTTGTTCTTATGCTAACAACTCTAACTAATTATTTGTTGTTGCAGCCACTACTCCTAATTCCTTTGTACTTCCTCTTTTACTTTGTTATTGCTGTGAATGAAGCTTTCCAGCTTCTCCCTCCTGGTCAAAACCCGCTCAATCTCCATTGAACCACCAGATCTGGTATAAAAAAGGGAAAGTGCCAAAGAGGAACCCACCAGCTCCGGAAAGGGAAGCGCGCCGATCAAAAGAGAGAGAGAAAAAAAAAGATAAAAAGGATCCTCTTTCACTCCAGCCTCCCCACATTTAACCAAACTTCCAGCCGAAGAAGCTCTGAGCAAGAACCGTTCCACGAGGCACAGGATTTTGATGAGTATCTCCGAGGGACTGAGTATCTGATCATCTTCAACCATAATCTGATTGTTCTTTCTGCAAAAAGTCATGGGTGAGAACTGAACTTATCCTCTTTCCACTCCCCATTTACATACTGTCTGCAATCGGACTAGTTGACGCCAGCGTCCCGATCTATTGGAAAGGCCAGCACCGCCACAGATCGGGCGCCGCCACAAGTTCTCGCAACTCCGCTCCGTATCTTTTCCATGTCCATAATCGATAATTCCGAACCTCTCGGGCTGTCCCCCTCCCCCCTATTCTTGATTGGATTCCAGGGGGACCCCCCCCCCTTCGAAGGACCCTCCACATCAGAGTGGGCTCAACAATGGTCAATCCAAACCAGCAAGTTCAATTTAATATAAACAATTCTTTGTTCTTAGCAAGAATAACCGAGGAATTCCGAGGCGTACCCTCGACGAGCCCTAAGACGTCGCCCTAACCGAATTGGGTAGTACAACTGGACGATAAGTGACCAAGCACTTTCACCACTCCATCAACTGATTACTGTGACACCGCCTGCATTGCATTGGAGTCAAAACGAAAACTCAGAAAGAATAATATCTCCAAAGTGCCCAAGCCTGCCCAGGTCTAGCGAGTGGCGGCAACAAAATTGCCGGAATAATGTGGATGCCTACTCGTCACTGAGTGCCGGTCACACGTATCAGTACAAGTTACGGAGTACCTCTGGTTATCATCTCCGACAACATGGCTACCAAGTATCTCAACAACGACAAAGAAGTAACACTTTTACAACCATAATGACTGTCGAGGAGACCCATATCCCCTCCCCAAACCTACAAGTACTAAACAATCCCGCAACTTCCTTCCAACCTCCTGCTCAAGCAGTTAAGGTGAAACGCCGTCAGACCACCGCTACGCAACGCGCGGAGATCTGATCAACCCCGTCGTAGTCGATCGCAGGGGCTCCGTCTTCCGTTTCAACACCCAATGACTGCGCCCAGAACATAAGCTTCGAAGCTGACCAGTCGAAAGTACCGATCTAGCGCATTCAGTTTCGCATCCACGTCATGCTATACTGCACTCTACGGTACTTGATTATCTTTCTATGTGAAGTACGGAGTACTGGACAGTACAATGGATGTACGGTGCTCACCTCCAGTCATCTCCCAGCCAGGACTTGAATTGAACCACAGTGACAGCATGAGTCCGGAGTTCTCTCGGAAACCAAACCCTAAGAACACAAGATCAGATGTGTGAGAACACTAAAGCACGTTCCCAACCTTCTCTTTTCCTCCTACTGTAAGACCCGCTTATAACGATCCTCGGTAGGACGATATTCCGCCTAAAGCGATCTTACCCATGGTAAAAATGTATTTCACCATACAAAAATCGGTATTATTCGAAATAGCGACGATCAAAATATAGTAAAAGTTGCCCATACAAAAATCGTTATAAAGAGGACAAAAGTTACCTAAAAGGGTAATCATTAAGGTCAATCCTGAGAGCGAAGCAGTAAGTTATACAGTAAAGATCATGTGTATAGGCTAGCTATACTCCAACAATACAGCGATATTTGGCTATAACGATTATACATAGCTTCACCAATTCAATCGTTGTAAATGGGGTTTGCAGTACCCGTCCTACGTACCATTTACCAGCCACAGCCCCCCCCCCACTCCCAGATCCTCAGTAGATGTACGGAGTATAGCACAGTACAGTAGGATAGATCAACACCAAACCTCCAAGCATAAGATACGCAACACAAACACAAAATTTCAATCAAAACCACACCACGCCCATCATGCAACAACACTCCGACATCCCCGACATCTCCGACATCCAAGGCCGTGTAACTTTGACAGTATACTGTAAGTTTGTTTACCCGTGACTTTCTGTTTATTTACTTACCAACCAACCAAGAAAAAAAGATCGACTTGGGAGGACTCCACTCCACTTCGCTCGCCCAGCCCGAACTTTCGAAGTTCGCCACCAAGATCATCTCAGCTTGACTACGGCCTTTTTTCAGCCCTGAAAATCTGCCCTCCCCCCCCTCCCCCCTCCTCAGCCCCGACCTCCCGAGATGTACTAGGTACGGTGTAGTATGTTCCAGTCCACCCACGGTTCCCGAGGCCATCCCAATCCCACCCGATAACTTATTCCCGCATATACTTGAACTGCACTCGGTCGGAATCAACCCTATATTTCTCCAATTGAAGTAAACACAGAAACCTCGAGTGGGAAACAACCCCTTCCAAAAAAAAAAACAAGAAGCTGAACAAGTACTGAGTAAACAAAAGAAGAAATTAGATTAAGCTGAAGATGATGATGACGAAAAAAAAAAACAAAAAAAACCAATCCCGTAAAAAAGCCGAGGTCGGACATCCAACGAAAGGTCAAACTCTATGGACAACAAAGTTCGGCAGTGAGAGAGAGTGTGTTAAACCTAACCCAGCAGAACGTACTGTACATAGTATTCGTGCGCCCGGATGGTCTGGCCTGGTCGGGTGGCCTAGATAGTTGTGTGGTCTCTGTGACTGACTGCCCTCTCTCTGCTTGCTTGAAGTCTACAAGAGTGCTGTACAGCCCGTGGCGCATACGGGTCATCATTCAACGATGAGTACTAGTATTCTAGGGTAATGGCACTGCTTAAACCCCCGTGGTCCTGGAGGGGGTTTGAATGGCCTAATGAATTCTCGTATACCGAGCCAGCGGTCGCAGCTGGCCAGCGGAAAATCAATCGCAGATGAAAGATACGGTGTGAACATCCAGCAGAGCACGAAATGAATATACAGGATACATCGACCACTCAACCTTGCAGTTGGTGCTTGCTACCTGTTATATACGGTACCAGAATGGAGTACAATGCCATTAGAAATACACATCTCAAAGCATGTCATTTCATCGATCTGATATCAAATGCATCGTCACTGCCGTAAAGTAACAACGAGAAAAAAATACATCAAGAGGGCGCCATAGAGAACGCTTTTCATAACAGATTAAATGATAATCGCAAGTCACAAATTTCGCCCATCCGTATCCCCATCACCACTGCCTCCTTCCACTACTGGCTTGCTCACCGACCCATGCGGATGACGCCCGCGGCCATCAACTTCTGGATCTTCATCCGCACCTGGGAGTTCTTCATGTGCTCCTGGAGGGCGGCGGGGTCGCTCTTGGCTTGCTGGAGGATGGTCTGCATGATAGGGTCCTGCAGGATGGACATGATCTATGGTTTCATAGTTAGCGACAGGATCCCACTGATGTTATCAGGTAAATGACTCACCTCAGGGTCGTTCTGGATTCTCTCCATCGTCTGTTGCTCGGTCTCGCCGGCACGGGCGCTGAACTGAGCGTCCAAGCACTTCTGCTGCTGCTGCTCGATCTCCCGGGCGTGAGTACCGTCGTCGTGCTCCAAAGCTTCCGTGCAGACATCCAGAGCCTTGTTGTACTCCTTCATGGCAACCAAAGCCTGCGCCTTGCGCATGTACGCCCGAATGAACTTGGGATCCCGCTTGGTAGCTTCGTCACAGTCCTGCACGGCCTGGGGGAAAGCCATCAGCTTGATGAGAGCCGCAGCGCGGTTGGAGAACCCGCGGGGGTCCTCGGGGGCGCGCTTGGTCATCTCGGTGAAGGCATCCACGGCAGCGGGCCAGTCACCCTCCTGGAACTTGGCCTGGCCGAGTTCGCGGGCCTTCTCGGCCTCGGCAGGGTCGACGTAGGCCTCCTTCTCAGCCTTGGCCTTGGCCTTCTCCGCGTTGCGCAGCTTCGTGAGAACATCGGGAGTACGGTGCTCAGTCAGCGCCTTGTGGTAGAACTCGATGGCCTGGCTGAGGTCGCCAAGCTTCTCGTATGCGGTACCGATACGCGCGAAGGCCCTACGATCACAGACGTTAGCCACGGTTGGATGCAAAACCGCACGGAGGAACCTTACTTAGCAATGGCCTTGAAGTCGGCTCTGAGCTCACGACCCTCCTCGACAGCCTTCTGGCAGGTCTCAATGGCACCCTGAAGATCGCCCTTCTCGAACTTGGCGGCACCGAGGTTGTTCAGGTAGGTGATGTCCTTGTGCAGCTCCCAGGCCTTGCTGTAGTGCTCAATAGCCTCATCAAACTCTCTCTTCTTGTAGAAATCGTTACCAAGCTTCTTCTCGGCATCGGCGGCCTCCTGGGCCTTCTTCTTCTCGAGGGCCTCCTCATCCTCAGGCTCGGGCTCCGGGGCGGGCTCGGGCTCCTTCTTGGGAGCAGCGGGACGAGCATCGGGCATAGGCACATCCTCCTCCGCCTCCTGCGCAGCGCTAGAGGAAGCAGCGGCCTCCGCCGGGGGAGCTCCAAAGTTCATATCGATACCCAGCAACACACTCATGACCTGCAAGAAGCGGGGGTCGCCGATCTCTTGACCGATGTCGTTGGGGTTCTGCTGCAGGCGCTTGAGCTTGGCCATGAAGTCGGCGTCAGCCAGCAGGGGAGCGGTCTTGGGGTTGCCGGCGAGCTTCTGGAAGAGCTGGGGATCGTTGAACATTCCGCCGAGTCCTCCCATGGGATCGCCCGTCACACCGTCGGCCTGGGCTTCGGCATCGATGGCCCTCTTGACAGCGTTGAAGCCATTCTTAGCCTGGTCGTTGGTGGGTTCCAGCTTCAGAGCCTCTTCGTATGCGTCGTGGGCAGCCACTGGACAAGAGACCGTTAGCCGCGGTAAAGCACCGAGTGTGCCATCCGACACGCTTAGGGGTCTAACTCACGGAGATCGCCCAGACCGCGATAAGCAGCACCTTTGCGGATCCAGCCCTTGGACCAGTCCGCCTTCAGATCCGTAGCCTTGTTGGCATCCTCGAGAGCCTTCTGGTATTCATGTTGCGCGGAATATACAGCGGAGCGGTTAGAGTAGAGGATGTGGTTGGAAGGCTCAACTTCAATAGCCTGGGAGAACTTGTCACTGTGAAGGTGTCAGTGATCAGATTTACTAGAGATGTTCCAGTCATCGCTGGTCCGAATTTGATTGCCTCGATTTTCAAGCGGGGTAGAATACGGGACCAAAAATACGTACATAGCAGTAGGATAATCCTTTGCAGAAAAGGCCTTGTTGCCCTCTGCTTTCAAAGCGTCAGCCATGTTTGCAAGACAGGTGACAGTAGTTTGGGGGAAATGAGAAAGAAGTGAGGGTGGAAGGAATGAGGGATGATGGTTCTGGGGGAGGAGGGAGTTGAGTGCCGCCGGGGGAGCCAGTGCCAGTTTAAACTACGGCCTGAGCTCTGCCGGGAGCTTCTCGAAATTTCCGGGAGGGAGAGAGTTACAGTACTCGCAGCCTCAGGCCACTATAAGGCAGAAACAGCTGTCACTTGTGTTAGCCTGAAGCTAGCCTGAAGCTAGCCTGAAGCCTCAGGCCTCCATGCATGTGAGGCCAAGCCCGAAAGAGAAAGAAAGGCCGCCCAAAAACATCTTCTTTTTCCCGCCGTCATCGAATTGTTCTCCAAAAATTCCCTTCTTGATTCTTTTGCGCTCATTCCTTCCAGTTACTATTGAAAGCTAGCGATTCACAGCTGGGGACTTTAATTGAACCTCTCCCCACCCAACCTTCTTCAACCAGTCCCCCAAAAACCCCGGCGCGCGCTTCTGATCATGCCCTTCCATAAGCCTTTCCGGTGATAGTTTCCTTTCAACACAGTGTGAGAGACATTTCGGACAAGATCTCCCCTCATCTTTTCCCCGCCGCGCCCACCACCGCGAACTACAACCCTCTCCCACCCCTCCCCCAACACCCCGAAGTTGATTGAACCGCCGCAAACAATGGCCTCCTCAGCTGGCTCTTCAGTGAGCGAGCTTTGCGCCCGACTCTACGATGCCTGCTTGAGAAACTTCCCGTCCGACCATCTCTTCTACCAGCAAGATCTCCTCGGACTGGGGATCGTCCCCAAGAATGACCTCGCCCTCCTCCTGCAATGCACTCAATCGCTCGTCGACCAGAAACTGTTCCGCCTGCTCCAGGGAAAGAATGATCGATTGGCGTGGAAGATTATCTCCCGGGAGGATGCAGAGAAGTATGAGCCCTCCCAAATCTAGCAATTGAATTCGAAACTAACATGAACGAACCGCCCATAGACTGCAGAATCTCAGCCCCGACGAGAGTTTAGTCTACAATGTCATCCACTCGACCGGGCGATCCGGCATCTGGGTACGCGCGATCGGCACGCGCACGAACCTGCACAAGTCGATCCTGGACCGGTGCCTGAAGTCGCTCGAAGGGAAGAACTACATCAAGAGCGTGCACAATGTCAAGTTCCCCAGCCGGAAGATGTACATGCTGGCGGGCTTGGCGCCCAGCGAGGACGTGACGGGCGGGGCCTGGTTCACGGACGGCGTGCTGGACGAGAACTTCATCAACAGCGTCGCCGGGTTCATCGAGTGGAAGGTGAGCCAGAAGAGCTGGTACGAGGTGCCCGCCGTTCACCATCGCAACAACAAGCGCCTCAAGACCGCCGACGGGAATGGTGTCAGTAACAACCCGCACGAGACCGACGCCCAACCGCAAAAGGAATACATCCCCTTCCCCGCCGGGTATCAGGGCTACCCGACCATCCCCGAGCTGACGGCCGCCGTCAACGCTAGCGGCATCACCCCCGTCCGCCTGGGCGAGGAGAGCATCACCCAGCTCCTGGAGATGCTCTGCTACGACAACAAGCTGGTCGCCCTCAACAACGGCGAGGTCTACCGCTCCGTCAAGACCCCCGCACAGGTCAAGTCGCAGCAGGCGCGCAAGCCCCCCGGCGAGGACTCCGGCATAGACGACCGTCTCGTCCGCAACGGCATGACCGAGGCCCCGTGCGGTCATTGTCCGGTGTTCAAGCTCTGCGCGCCCGGTGGAGCCGTCAGCCCGGAAAGTTGCGAATATTTCGATCCCTGGTTAGAAAAAGCCCTGGGATTTTGAGAGAGGAGAGAGTGTGTGGAAATAAAGCAGTGATCGGTTCACTCTGAGTGAACCATCTCTCCCGTGTGTCTCAACTTCTATCTATACCTCCTACTTATCTCTTTCTCCTTCACCACTCATTTTTTTCCATTTCCGTTCTTGGATTATTCCCCCACCAACACATCATTTATCAAACCACTTTTATCATACCTTACCCGACTTACTTACTGTATACCAGTCTTTTTGCGCATCCATAAAGAAAGGGGACAACCAGCTCTTACGCTGGGCGATGATCTTGTTTTGCTTTTGCTTTTGCATAGCGATGGCGTCTTTTGTGTTAATCATTACTTTTCTGCTTGTGTCTCCACACTCAGTGTCTGATAGTGGGTGTGGGACGAAGGGGGGCCAGAGTCATATGTTGATGCATGGTCTGTCTTTTTGTCTTTTGTTCATCAACAAGAGGTTCTATACTCCAAATATAAAGCCGAGGAAAAGAAGTCGAGGAACGAGAACCAATCCTATCTACATGTTTCCGGCAGCGACTGCACTATATCTGCGTATCTCTAGCTGAAGCCACACTGCATTGATCCCTAGGTTTCCAACCCAGAATACTAAGAACCCGTTATTGTAGATTAGATTGATCCCAGGTATGTACTTTTAAAAATACCACCCACTACAGCTTATGTACGACCATGTGAAGAAGCATAACACCTCCAAGCCCACGGAACTAATCACATCATCATCACCATTCCATCAAGGGGCTACCAAAACCTAACTCCAAAACTTCAAGACTAAAGCAGTAAAAGGGTATAAAAGACGACATACAGACTCCCCGCCCCAAAGAAAAAAATCACGCGCCCAATTTCGCCGAACACTGCGGACAATACCACTTGCCCACGGGCTCCCGGGTCAACCCGACACACTTCCAATGGAACCACTCGAACTCGCAATCCTCGTTGTCGCACGCCACCATGTCGCCATGGCTGACGCTGCGACACGTGCAATACACCTTGGTATCCTCGTTGCCCTCATCCTCGTCCTCCTCCTCGTCCAGATCGTTTTCGCCGCCGCCGCCGCCGCCGCCCACCCCGGCGCCACCGCGGAGGTCGGCATGTTCCGAGTCCGACATGTCGGCGCTGCTGAGCAGGGAATCGTCCTCGTCGTCTTCACCACCAGCAGCACCATGACCACCAGGTCCAGCCGCCGATGACGAAGGGGAGGATTTCTTGGTGAGTTTGAGGCGGCCGCTGGCGCTGGAGGATCGCTTGCTGTGTTTCCCGTTGAACCCGCTGCTGCCGCCGCCGCCGCCTCCGCCGCCGGTCTTGAGTTTCTTCAGCTGCTGGTGCGGCGCGACCTTCTTCGTGAGGGCCTTCTTCGTGGTCGAGGCGGAGCTGCGGGGCCCGGCGCTGCCGGCGCGGCTGGAGGCGGGCGTGCCCCCGCCTTTCGGGGTGCCGGGCCCCAGCGAGGATTGACGGAGGTTGGAGGACGCGGCGGGGAGGGTGCCCAGGGAGGCGTTCAGCCGGCGGCGCTTGTTCTCGACGGCGCCGGCGGAGGATTCGCGCTGGTGCCGTTGCTGGAAGTGCACGGTGCCCGACGGAGTGGCGGGGGCGGAGGAGCGCGCGGCGGACGGGGAGCTCAGCATGGCGGCAGCCGCGGCGGCGGTCGTGGCGTTCCGGCTGAGGGACTGGTTCAGGCGTTGGGTTGCGCCGAGGATGAGGTTCGCTGCGCCGCCAGAGGCGGAGGCGGACCCGCCGCCGCCGCCGCCGTTGGTGGCGTGTGCGGTCGGGGATGAGGATGCGGCGGCGGCGGCGGCGGCGTCAACGGTGGCGTCCGGGAAGAAGATGCGCGGGGGGTCGCGGTATTGGTCTTTGTTGTTGAAGAGGGAAGGGAGCGGGGGGTCGTTCGAGAGCATGCCGTTGCTTTGGAGTTTGTGGATCGCGATGTCCAGGCGCTTGATCTGTCGGTCCAGGAGGACGCAGGCCTTTTCGCTGAGCTGGATCTTCTCGTCTTGCAGGAGTTGCGATTTGTCGAGATTCTGGAGGATGGTCTTGCTGTATTGCTCCTCCTTCGGGTTGGGCGTCAGGCTGCCGTTGAGCTTGATGAATTTCTGCAGGCTGGTGTCGCGCGAGTTGATGGTCGTCCGGCATTCTTGGATGGTCTTGTCTTTGGCTTGAATCTCCTCCATCAGGTGATTGATTTCGGCGGGCAGGTTGGCCACATCGTGCACGAATTGTTCGAGCACCGTGGCGGGGTCCTCTTGTAATTGCGACATTCTTCACGCTGGCTGCCCACGGTCTCAATGCTGAAGCACAGTTGGATGCTGTAACTTCAGCACCGTGTGCTCACTGTGGTCGGGAGGTTGCGGTTCGTGGTGCTAACACTGTGATACGTGGTTCGGTGCTGGTGTGGTTGATCGAGACGACAGCGCAATGGGAGATCGATAGTCGCAAGGGATTCGGAAAGTTCAGGATGCTTCGTGCTTATCGATCACAGTCGAGACAATCGATAGAGACACGCCGGAATTTCGATGTTCCGTGGTCGAAACTGGCTGATTACTAAGAGGTAAACACCATGAGCGTTGCAGCTGTATGCTATTTTTTATATACTTCCAAGCCACTATTCTACTGTTCACAGAAGTTCTAGAACAGAGAAATGCTGAAGAATTGAAGTACTTGATACCCATTAGTGTATTATACCAACTGAATGTTCAAGCAAAAATCAGGTACGTAGTATCTAGTATACAAGAAGAAAAGTACCGAGCGATTAATGCCGGCCCCATTAACGTATTCCTGATACGCTTCCCCAAGTGGTAGGATTCCACTTCCACGATTCCTCGATTCCTCCTCTAAAAAGAAATTCTCATATCATCTAGGCAATGCAAGAGTCCTTAGCCACAATGCGTCTCGCTCATGCCATTGTGATGCAACACAGCAGCACAACAGAAACGCTTGTCGATGCTAATTCTGGATGAGCCTGACTGCACGCACGAACGTGTACAGAACCAATGGAGCGACGGGAGACGAAGTTTATAAACGAAGACATTAGGTGGATGAAGCGACCGGAGAGCGCAGCCACCCCGGCACGTCAAAATATCGAAAAACTAAGAGTATCTTCCAAAGACACAAGTATGGAAGGAGCCTGCCACATCCTGACTGAATCGAACTGTAAAGGAGTAGAGAGGAAGGTCGCAGCCTGATCGATGATAAGATGCGTCCAGGCCAAAACCCTTGAGGGCAGCCTGCTGAGCCAAGAGTGGAGGTTGCCAGCCTATGGATGTCCATCATACCCTGCCGGATTCAACTCTTGCTACTGGAATATCCCGAGTCCTGAGGCATCCTTAGGTCGCTTGCAATGCCGCTGTTGAATTTGATTGAGTGTTGAGCGCAGGCGTATCCGACCAGGACGACTTTCTCCTGAACCGAGTGGCCGCGCTGACCGTAGGCTTCACACGGGTCAACCGCGTGCTGGAAGTAGAGACAGCGGCAAGCTGCGAATCGCTCCACGAGTTTGTAGCACATGATGGTTGAGTATTATGGTGGTGGGCAATAAGTTGAAAGACGTGGGTGGTCTAGAACAGAATGGCGGGTCTAACGTCCTGCGTGCGTGCGCTGGGATATGTACGAAAGGGAGGCAGACGATAATCCGATCAAAGAATGGTAGCTAGTCGCACGACGCGACAGCTGACAGCGATTTGGGTGCGGTGCGATTGATGACAGTGGCCTGCAGTATGATTGAATGAAGGAATCCCCGGACTGCTTAGGCGACCCAGGGGCATATTCACGGAAAGGACTCAATCATAAGCAGATGCAAAGATCAAGACAAGTTGACACTGCCGGGAAAGCACAATCTGGCATTCTAAGTTGTTTTCGATAACGAACAGAGGAAAACAGTAGACTCCAATGCGAGGGGTCCATAAATTGAGACCGCGGCCGTTAATGGATAATTGCTTGAGAGCTCGTCGAGCCGACCTCTTCCATCACGTGGAATACTGAAGACCAAGAACAAGACGGTTACAAACAAAAAGCAGAATCCGTCAAGGTTAAACAAGAATTGGTGAAGCCACAGGGGAAAGAGCACTGAGGGATGGTAGCATGACCGAGAAGCAGGGGCGGAAGGGGTGGGCAAGAAGACAAGAAGAGAAAAGGTGGAAAGGAAAGGGAAGGAAAGGGAAGGGAAGGGTAGAAGAAGAGACGGAATGATAGAATGCAGCCGAAAAACAAGCCAGATTGGTGGTCGAGTCCCCAGGTAGGCCGGCCTCACAGGGCAGAGTTGAAAGTAGTCGATCAGTGGGGGAGGGGGGAGACAATTCCCGGTCAGGCTGAACCTCACGGACCAGCTACGTAGTACTCGTAGGTAGTGTTATCCACCAGGTTCAGTTGGAACGCCTTGTTCCTCAAGAGCCAGAGCATTTCTTTCAATGGGTCGGGTGTTCTCCGAAAGAAGGGGGAGAGAGAGAAAGGAGGGGAGTGACCGGCCGTAAGGCTGCAGGATATGCAGGACGACAAGCAGCCCCGTTCTCGATCAAGCTCGCCGGGGATTGGACCAAGCAGGTTTGGTAGTTTGACCATAAGCGACGTCCGTTGCTCTGTGATAATAATCAAGTCAGTTTTGGTGGGAAAAACCGAGCGTTGAACCGCCTGATGGAGTCAGTCGACTCAGTCGTACTAGTGGAAGAGAAGTGGAAGAAGAGTGGATAAAAACCATGGCGTAGGGCTGAACTCGGCAAGAATAGAAACAAATCGTGCCCGTCCGTCAATTGGCCTGCTTCTTCTGTTCCGGCACCACCAGTTCAGCCACCGTATCAGGCAACAATCTTCTCAATTCATGGTTCGTGGATCCATTATCCTTCAAAATCAATCCTCGGAATATCGGAATGCTTCCTCGCATCCCCTTACAGAAGGTGTTATTTATGATGATCATATTTTCCCACTATTATTATCATTAATTGATGAACACTAAGCTTCTTCAGTGTGACTACAAGAAAGCTTCGTACTCTTGACTGAGGGAAGATTAAGGGGTCCTGGTTCGCTATGCATCATGAGGTAATTTCTGGACCTCGCTGTAGGGCTGACCGTCCAGATGAGCAACCTGGCACAAAACTGGAGCTGCAATTCGCCAGGCGAGACTGTTCAGAAAGTTAGTGTCTTGGGGAAATGGCCCTGGCCGCCCCAATGAAGTCATTACACCACACAGTACTGTATTTTAGATCGTCGAACTTCTGTGGCTGTTTGTGGAAGCCATCAAGGTACTGTACCAGCACCGGATTGCCGTAATTACTCTGTGCTACTGTTTTCGCAATTTCTTATATTCTCTCCTCAACGCATCTCAACTACCAAGCGATACCTCCTACAAATGTTTACGCGTCACCATCGATTGCAGTCATAAAGTAGGCATTGATAAGTTAGACCATCAAATCATCACTTCATCATTCATGTCCCGGCTCATCAATGTAGGAGTTGTCAGGACATTGGGGGAAAAGCCTTGCCGGGACCACTCATCCTATCGTCGTTCCATCCGCCTGGCTATACTGCCGTTTCTAGTAGAGAGCGGATCTTTCCGTTGTTCTTCACTCCTGACCACCACTCTCACGACAACCTCAACTTTCTTTCCTCTTCTTCAGTCCCCACCTACTGTCTCCTTTTCACCCCCCTTCGACGAGGGCACTCCTCGCCTTCCTCCAACCACCACCTCCACTGCGAAGCGAGACCGGCTCGTCCGTAGCAGAGCCCAGAGTCTGGCACTGTCTCCTGATCTCTCTCTCTCTCTCTCTCTCTCTTTTTGTTTGTTTTCTTCTGTGAGCCTTCTTGAGTGCCAGATCTGTGGTCCACATTGCCCCGTCTCTGCCAAAAGGGGAAACATGTTATACGGTTCAATTTAGTATAAATCGGTCCGGTTCCAAACCAAAATGAGTAGTCTGCTCCGCGTCACGCTGCCAGCACACCATCAGGGATAGGGTCATCGATCCTGACAGTGCGCATGAGCTGATCAATGAGAATCGACATTCTTCTTTCATCACCTCACAGATATTGAGATTATCTCCGGACAACAATTCCCTGCCTTCTGACGGCACTCCGGGCCCGTCTGTACTCCTCATCACTGTCCTCCGACTCGGAGCAACTCGCCTCCGAGGACTCGGTCACATACCCGCAGCGACTGCCTCCACAGTCGAGCTTGACACGGTCTCCCTTGCGGGTGATCCCATAGCGCTCACACCGGCAGATCGGGGTCGGTGGGTCACTCATGGAACTGAGCGACGAGGGGGAGGTACTGCCCGAGGAGCGGGACGACAGCGAGCTGCCCGCAGAGCTGGGCGGGCTGTTGGAGAGGGAGTACTCGTCCGAGAGACGGGATCCCGCAAACCGCCGGGTCAGATCGTCCATGGTGGGGGGCCCACCGACAAAGTCGGTCTCCCGGATCTGGCGAGAGGCGTAGGGCTTGGAGGGCTTGGGGTGCTGGATCTTAGATGGCGAGAGAGCTCGGCCCTTGACCACATCCGAGGCCGCCGAGGTGCGACGGTGGCTCTTGCTAGGAGCCGAGGAAGAGCTGGAGGACTTGCCGCCGGGAACATCCAGGATGTTGAGCTTGCGGCCAGTGGTGGGCTCCACCGTATATTCAACAGCAGGGTCATGGGAGACGTGATAGCCATCCATGATATACTGTAGTGAGTGAGTCAGTAAGGTGTGTGTCATTAGAAAAGAAGGAAGCAGGATCACCGACATAGTACCAGTACCGGCCACCCAGCTTGAGCATGGAAGTCTGGAAGCGGAACTTGCCCACCCACGAGCCAGACTTGTTCTCATCGCGCGAGAGGGGGATCTGGCGGGAGTAGTTGTCCCACGAACCGACCAGGTGGACGGTCTTAACATTGGAGGAGGTCCGAAGAGAGAACTTGAGCTGAACGGACGACATTATGGCGATATTATGCAATTGAATCGAACCAGAATTATACTAGAAGATTAGATTATGGTAGAAAGGAATATAATAAGTAATCGTGTCGACGATGGCGGTGCTAATGTTGTTGGGGCGAAGTGACTGCCAGAGTCAATTCGATTCAGCCTCGTGCTGCAGCGGATTGCTGAACTGTCGGTTCGTTGGCTGTGCAAGACAACAGAGCGTTAAGCTTGACGGGGATCCAGTCCTCGACACGTAAAGAGGCAGAAAGAAGATTAAGTTGTAAGGCGAGTAAGTTTGTCTGAGCTGGAAGCAAATCGGGAACAAAAACTATCGTCGACCGGCGACAATGTATTGAACCGTTGGAAGTTTGTACAGTTTAGAAGTATCCTGTGCGAATTGAAGCAAGACAGCAAGGGAACATCCAGGAGCACAGCTCTCAGATGGATATGGTGTTTTTTTTTTTTGAGTTGGTAGGTGGGTGATATTAAGGGAAGTATAGAATGGGGTTGGTTAGAATTGAAGATGAAGATGAAGATGAAGAAACAACAAACAACTAAGTGCAACCAGTGCACAGGATACTTCCAAAACCACAGGCAGAACAGAACAGACTAGCTTGCTGAAGAAAGAAAAGAAGAAAGGGAAAAGAAGGGAAGGCCAACGAGGGCCCGGCGGGTAAGAAGGCTCTTTTATGAGGGAGGGAAAGATGGTGGTGGATGGTGGATGGTGGATGGTGGATGGTGGATTACCTACCTACACTTAGTTTGTACCTAGTACTCTAGGAATAGTGACGGTCCGTCTGTCACACCCCAGCAGCGGGTAAATCCAGGGTTCGATTGGCCTGCTCTCGCCAGCCCGTCTCCGAGCCTTCAGCCATACAGAACCCATTGCTTGCCGCCCAGCCAGCAACTACTGCCTGCCTCTCCAACCTATAACATTCTCCCTCCATCACCCTCCTCTGCCACTATCGTCACCCATCATTCACGGCATGGAGGTTAAAGTTCACCAGACCGAGGAGGGGAAGCCCAGAATAGACTTATAGAGGGTCAAAGTCTGCTCCCTCACTGGTGGATGCCTCACCTATCACTACACGGTCTACACTCGGATCCATTATCACGGACAGTCCGGGTGGGGAGGACTGCATGACGAAGAGGGGAAATATGCAGACATGCATCGCATGAGCACATCCTTCACCTCTTCACCTCTTCACCTACACCAGCACGGCCTATTATTGATTCGGCTCCAATGCCACCATTTATTCAGTCAAGTACAGCAAAGTATATCATAATCCCAACCCCTTCGCTGCTCACTCATCTTCATCCGCCCAAAGAAAGAAAAGGTAAAGGAAAAGGAAAAAAAAAAAAAAAAAAAAAAAAAAAACAAAAGAAAATCGCAACCTTCAGATCCTTTGTACGCCGGAAAATGCCGAATCAGTCGGGTCTTCGGTTGATACCGCAGATTTTGATGGTGGAGAAGGATGGGAAGCAAATTCAATGGGGAAAAAATAAAACAAAAAAAAAAAACAACCGGAAGACGAGAAAGGAAATTATCATGATATAGAGAGGCGGGGGTGAGAAAAGAGAGGGGAAGAAAAAGAAAAGAAAAAGAAATTCAACTGATGTACATGGATGGTATTCCTTCTTCTCTCTCACCGCACGGACACTCCAGACCGGTTGGTAAACATGCGAGCGGCAATGTTCATCGAGGCCAGCTCTTGGAACAGGAGCTTGGCTGCATATGGGATATGCACCTGCGAAATACGGTGCTTGTTGTTGCACAGTCGGCACTCGAATAGACCTTTCTTGAGTTTTCTGCAGAATCTCCGTTAGCATGGTCCGTCCACTAGAGTCAACTAGTCAGCTAGTCAGGGAAGCATCGTCAAACTTACGCAACCGGGGTCATTAAGCCACAGTCATCGCAGATATGCACGCGGAAGGGATCGGACACATCGAACAACCGCTCCTTCAAGAAGGCACTGGCTCCGTGCGCAATCATACAATCGCGCTCCATTTCTCCGAATCGAAGACCACCATCACGGGCACGACCCTCCACAGGCTGTCTCGTCAGGATCTGCGTAGGCCCACGTGCACGGGCATGGATCTTGTCGTCCACCATGTGGCGCAAACGCTGGTAGTAGGTCGGCCCCAAGAAGACCTGGGCCACCATCTTCCGTCCAGTGTGGCCGTTGTACATCACCTCGAATCCACGAGACTGGTAACCGTGTTCACGAAGAAGACGAGAGATTGAGTCGACCGTGACGTCGGTGAATGGTGTGGCGTCACCCTCAAAGCCACGTAGCGCAGAAACCTTACTAAGCTGACACTCAATCAAGTGGGCAATTGTCATACGAGAAGGAATGGCGTGAGGATTGATGATCAAGTCGGGAGCCACACCCTCACGAGTGAATGGCATATCCTCTTGACGATAGGTGATACCAATGGTACCCTTCTGTCCGTGACGCGAGGCGAACTTGTCACCAATTTGGGGAACCTTGGTCGTCCTCATGCGTACCTTGACGAACTTCAGGTCGTCGTTACTCGTAGATACCAACACCTGGTCCACGATACCATTCTCCGTGCTTCTGAGGGGAGTGGAAGCGTCCGTTTTGGTGTGCGCCTTGGTCCGTTGGCCCAACTCCTCTGCGTCTGGAGCCAGAGGTGCGGTTTTACCGATGATGATATCCTCGCCGGAGACACGAACACCCGGGGCGATGATGCCGTCCTCGTCGAGCTTATCATAGGTTCCCTTCCGCATGCCGAGGGTGTCCGATCTCATCGGCTTCTCGAAGCGTTCAATGACTTGCAATCCCACCATTTTCTCGCTGTCGGTGTAAGTACGGTAGAAGAGACTGCGGAATAAACCACGATCAATACTGCTCTGGTTCATTACAACGGAATCTTCCTGGTTATAACCAGAGTAGACAGCGATGGCAACAATTGCGTTTTGGCCAGCCGGGAGCTCACGGAATCGCAAGAATTCCATGGACCGCGTTGTGGCCAGGGGCTTTTGAGGGTAGTAAAGGATGTTGGCCATCGTCTCCATACGTTGGTCAAAGTTCGTCAAAAAGACACCCATGGCTTGTTTACCCATAGCGGACTGATAGGTGTTACGGGGAGACTGGTTATGATCTGGGAAGGGAATGATACTGGCACAAACACCAAGGATCATACTGGGATGGATCTCGCAGTGAGTCCAAGTGTGCGCCTTTTGACTCAGAATGGAGCGTACACGCTTGTTCGGATCGTGTAGCTCCTCATCCGGAAGAGCATAACCAGCCTGGAGTTGCTTGGAAATTTCGAGATCTTCCGGAGTCATGGAAATCATGATGGTCTCTTCTTCTTCAGCATCGACATACTCCACTACACCAGACTTCACCAGGCCATCCCAACCGAAGTAACGATCGCGGCGGTCTTCTGGATCCAAGTCTGGAGGCAGGTCTTTATCTTGTTCCAGTTTGCGGATGTGTTCTTTGTTGAGCACCAGAGAGCCGCAGTTTTCACTCTTCGGGTCATTGTCAATGACGTAGAGCGGTCGGCAGACACGTCCAGCATCGGTGAAAATCTTGAACTCCCGCTCACGAATGTCTCGAATCAGACTGACCTCGTGCGAAATCATGTTGCGGCGACGAAGGGAAAGCATCGTGTTGACAAGGTGAGCGGGGTCTCTGTGGATACCAACCCAGACACCATTGACAAATACCTTGGTAGCGTTCGGTGTCACTTGAGGTTCGAACTCCTCGAGGACTTCCATATTACGCTGAATCATGAAATCAATGATAGGCTCGCTGGGCGTACCGACAGTGATGTAGCACATGAGAGCCAAGTTCTTGACCAAACCACAAGCTTGACCTTCAGGGGTTTCAGCCGGACACACCAGGCCCCAATGAGTGTTGTGAAGCTGACGAGGCTTGGCAATCTTTCCGTCTCGCCCGATGGGTGTATTGGTTCGGCGAAGATGGGACAAGGTGGAGGCGTAAGTGTAACGACTGAGCACTTGAGACACACCGGCCTTGGAGCTGGCTGCCTTCTTCTGCTCGCCCCAGTTACCCGTAGCAAGAGCATACTTCAATCCTCCCGTCAAGGTGCTAGCCTTGATACCAATATTCAGGTAAATCTCTCTGTTCGTCTCCACGCACCGCTGAACATACCGCTGTAGATCGCGGGTGACGCGGGTGAACAAGACTCGGAAAAGGTTCGCAAGAAGAGGACCGGCCAAGTCCAGGCGCTTCTTACCGAAATGATCACGGTCGTCGACATCCCGGCGACCCAGAGCACACTGGAGAAGCCTGTGCACCATGTAACCCAGGAAGAAGGCTTTCCGCGTCTCACTACCTTCGCTCTGGGAGATATGCGGGAGGAACTCTTTCTGCATGATCTCACGAGCATAACGGACACGGCGTTCGTGGTTCATGCTGGACTGGGAAGACCCACGCTTGGCGATGAAGTCAAGTGCGACCTCGCGATCCTGAATGACGAAACCTTCTTCAATACATGGCTTCAGCATCTCCAGCATAGGTGTGTCGTTGCGGTCATAACAAATGTGGTTCAGGATATCTTCATCGGAGACCACTCCGAGAGCTCTGAAAACAACCACAATTGGAATATCGGTCTTCACGTAGGGCAGTGTTGACCGAATCGTGGGACCAAATCCACCTTTGGCACTATCACCTTTCGCGAACAGCTTCAGAGACAATTGTGACAAAAGCCGCGAACCCTTCTCGACAGCACTGCGAATTTCAGCAACATAAGGTGTGGGACTGGGTGGTGCCTTCTTGAAAACCTGGACCGTGTTGCCAGCACTGCGTTCCTGGGCAATCAGAACCTTCTCACTGCCGTTAATGATGAAGTAACCGCCCGAGTCGTAAGGGCACTCGTTCCAGTTGTAGAGAGCCTGTTCGCTCAAGTCCTTAAGGATACAGTACTTGGACTTGAGCATAATGGGCACCTTTCCGATGAACACCGTCTCCTCCTTAGCTTGATCAGCGGGTAGTTCCTTCTGCTCCCACGAAAGATAGGTGCCATGAGCTTTCCGATCCTCGCTCGGGTCACCCATCTCATCCTCATCCCGGTCGGCGATCAGACGTTCCCGACCTTCCATAATCTTCTTGGTAACACCCAGGTATAGAGGACTGGCATATGTAAGGTTACGTAGACGAGCCTCCTGCGGCAACATGATGGTCGTCGCACCATCACCTTCCGTCACGGAGGGGCGGGAGAGCATGACGGTTCCGAACTTGAGCTCGTATCGGCGGACAACAACCGGGTCGACTTCATCTTCGGCGGGGGGGAGCGTCTGATCCAGTGTCACTTGGCCTTGTTCCTCCACCAACTCCTGCATCGTTGACGAGATGAACTCATCGAAAGAGTCTAGCTGCTGTGAAACCAGACCCTTGGTGTCGAAGAAGGACGAGATGACGGTCCAGCAATCCTCCGACGTAATCCCCTCGTCCATATCATCGTAGTACTCATCCTCGTAGGCATCTTCGTAGTCGGCCATCCTGACAGATAATCGGTCACGGTCCTAGTGGAACAATAAAGGACAAGGATTCAAGAAGGCGCAAAGGGCGCGACGCGCTCGGCGGAAAATATCCCACTCGACGTCGCCAAAGGGCTAATGTCAGAGGGTAGACACTGGGGGTGAGAGTTCGAGATAGGCAAGGACAGAAGCAATCAAAGAGCCGGGAGCCTCAAGAAGACAATGAGGTTGAAAAACCCAGGCCACCGGTAATGCTGGTGAAGGGAGCAAGCAGCTGGGGAAGTGCTTCAAGTCTCCGGGCGGGCGATGATGGATCTTGACTTGATGAGCAAAGAGAGAGAGCCGCCACTAGTCCCTCCCGACCGCCTGCTGCTGCTGGCGCCGCTAGTCACGGGTAGTTAACTAAGGCATAACTAACACTAATCCGAAACAAAGAACCACCATCACGTGATGGTTATTTATCCATTGAATTCAATTCACTTTGGTGTTACATTACAATACAAGATACATCCACAATGACCTCACCTCACCCTCGATCACTCAACCTATGCTTCCTATGCTTAGGAATATTGGGTGAATGCTCATGGTTTGCTAGCAGCTATACCAAGATTGATCTTCTGTATCCCCCATCATACAAACTGAAGAAGTGTCTCCAGCATCTCCTTATGGTCCTTTTGCCCCGGATCTTCCTCCGAAAGACCTTCTACTTGCTCTAGATGTACAGTATGGTCAGTCTTGGTTCTCATAGTGAGGGATACAGGAGGTGTGTAATTGCCATACCTTGTAAGGTAGCTTTGATCAAAGACAAATCCTCATCTCGGTCTGCGAGAAGGGAAACAATCTTCCTCTTGGCTCCATCATCTTCGGCGACGAGCCAAGCCAGAATCACGTCAATGAGCTGCAAAGGCGTCAGTGTGTCTGAATGGGGCTGAAACTGTCGTCGAGTATGAGCGACGAACCTGAAGCGAAAACAGCCCAGCGTCAAACCGGCGGGATAGCCATTCGCTGACCATGGCCTCCTGTTCCTCTGGTGTAAAGCTTTTCCGTTCGTTCTCGATCGCTTGCTCGACGGGAGACACTCTCGAAGCATAATCCCGTCGTAGCTTGACGAGTTTCTCGATCTTTTCATAGTCCTTCTCCATGAACTTGGCAAGCGTACGTATACGCGGCGCGGACCCCCCCGGTAGCAGGCGCAGGAGAGAAGCAAAAATGCCCAGTAAATGTTCGACCGTCTGGTTCTCTTGCTGCTGAAGGTCAACCCAGCCCGAGCACTCACGAGAAGAGTATAGCATACCTTGCGCTTGAACATGCCAAATACAGTACTCAAACATGCTGCTTCGATGAACCTCTCGCAAGCACTTGCACCTGCTGCACCGCCTAGAGCATGATCCAGAACTCGTAAAGCTCTCTGTTTACTGAACTTCCCTTCTTTCAGCATAATCTGAGCGAGTTCAATCCCTTCACTTTGCAGGAATTTGTCCTTGCCAGATTCCTCATCAACGACGCAAATCAAACAGTCAAACAAGTTCTCGACATATTCCTCCTCGTCAGAATCTTTCTCTGGATCACGCTTGCGATATTGGCTGAGTAATTGAAGAAGAACTTCAACGCCGTCCAAGCTCACGAATCTCTCGCGATTCTTGGCCGTAGACTGTAGTAGGATGGCCAGAATTTCAGCCGAGTATTGTTGATTCTGGCTCACAGGCCTTTCCTTTTTCTGAATACGAGATATGAGCCAAGGCAGAACATTGGGGTCCTTCCCTATCTTCTCTGCGATTGACGCTTGCGAGGCGAGGTTTTCAAGAACATCTTGGGCGGTCTTAGTAACTTGTCGAGCTACCGAAGGACGGCGGACTCACTTAGCACGTAGTATACCCCTGCTCTGTCAACCTCGGATTCTTCGTCTAGCCTAGACAGGTTTTGCGCTAGTAGTTCGACAAGGTCGGCATCCAACTACCACTATCAGCAATTTTCTAGCTTTGGTATGCAAGTGAATATACCATAGCGTTGACAAGTGTGTCCCATTGCTCCTGCTCAGCTTCCACATCTTCGTCAGTCAATTCACCAATGATCTGGATGGCATCGATCGCGATATCGGCGTTTTCATGGGAGAGTAAGGATACGAGTGAGCCAACGCAGCCCAGCTTTGCGAATTCATCGAACAGTTCGGGGTGCTCGGAGAGAATCGATAGGCCCTTGATCTCAGTATCGAGGTCCGCCTCCGAAGCCATAAACCTAGGAAGCTTAGCAAGATTTGCTTTTCCGTATCATGATCAACCCAGATCAAAACCCACTTTTGAGGATCATTCTCGAATTTTCCGCGGAGCTCGGCATTCTTGGATATCTTCTTCTCGAAATTCAGGGCGAATCGTCGCACCCAGGCAAGGTCAAATTTCTCCAGCTAAGCCATATCAGCACTCATCCCCATGCAGATTCATGAGCTATGCCCTTACCGATGCCTCCTCCTCTTCATGCTGGTCAATGTATTGCATAGCCTGAGCGGTCTGGCGCTCCATACCACCGCCGAAAAAGCGACCTTCTTCGTCGTCGGGGACATCTTCGGCCTCGAAATCCGGGGGTAATTCTGGGCCGGCATAGTCGTCCTCTGCGTCGCCTCCTTCCTCTTCTACTATTGCCGCCTTCCCTTTTGATTTGACATCTCCGCCCGCGTCCAGCTTAGCCGCTTTATAGAGCTCATCTTGCATTGAACGTCAGCACCGTCTGCCGGAAAGGAGGGGTATTCGTAACGAACTTGGGTCTTTCGAGGCATCAAATTTGCGCTTTGAACTCGCTGCAGATGAAGGTTTCTTTAGACGTTAGCAAGCGTTTGGGACCATAGTGTCATCATGGATTCTGTACCTTGAAGAGCTCATCGATGCTCGTCATGGCTGCGGCTTGCGCGAGTGGACTTCACGGAGGCTCTCGTCACCACCAACTCGAATCAAGTAGATACGCGGTATGCAGATTGATCAGTGCAGATTCCAGTAAATGAATCCCTCCTGTTGTCCAATTCAAGCAAGTTGCGACCGTTGACTGCTGCTGCTTGATTGACTGATCGCGCCGCAGCTCCCAAACCGATACGGGTGCCGCGATAAGCTAAAGGCGCAGCTGCCAAGCATGGAAAGATTTCTCGGACTCCGGCATCATTCCGCATTGCCCTCAACCGCAACTCCATTTACTCCATTCATCTCTACAACGTATTACAACGACCCCCTCCCCGTCAAGCTCCAACGTTAACTCATCCACCTCCCACAACCCATTCACATCATGGCTCCCAGACAGCGCGTCGTTTCCGGTCGCCCCCAGAAGGGCTTCCTTAGCACCGCCTACGAGGAACTTACTGCCGCCGAAAATGCTACCATCGTTCGAAGCCTTCTTGTCTTCGGCGTAAGTGCCAAATCTCAAAGGCTCAGTTACAAGAGGAACCGGGAAACTAATTGTTTTTTATTAGGCTGGCGTCGCTTTCCTCCACAGCAGCCTCGGCGAGCTCCTCCTCCCTCCGTAAGTTCGACATACACCGAATCCCTGTCAACTCAACCGCTCAGGCCGTCAGCCCGGCCAGGATCCCACAGGTCGCTAATGACTGATGAGCAGTATGTAAAATGGATACCCTATGCCTCCGTCCAACTCCGTGAAATGAAGGCCGTCCGACAGGCCGGGAACCGGGTCGACTATTGATCGCTGGATACGTGCGGAATCTTTCTATGCTATTGCTCTCGACATCCGAAGTTAATGAATACGTGTATTATATTTTTCTCGTGCATTAAATGGCTCCGCAGCTTTGGTGGATGGGACAAGACTTGCCAGATGATCCCTGGGAGTCTCACTCTTCCTTCTTTTTGAATAGACTTGTGATCCTAGTCACCTCTCGCTCGTCTCGGAAACCCTGCGTGCGTAGTCCTCAGACAATAGTGGATGCTCTGGGGTTTGACCAAATCACTATCATGCCTCTTTGAAACTCTTTGCATTCGGTATCTACCTCGTGTTGTGAGACGGGCCTCGAGATGTTTCGACAGCCTCTAGTGATATGCAACCATAAGAGGCCGGAAACTAAGTAGTGGCAGGTTGTCTACTCGTTTAGAGACAGATATATCTCAGATCATAGATTTTAGATTTGGGTGTGGTTCAAAGCAGGTAATGGTGCCTGGGGCATGAAGGATTCAAATGTCCCTGCATACAACCGATATATTTTTGAGAATCTATCGGGGGCTAGTGTCGTGCGGCCTGGCGGTCTCGCTGAATGCCCATCTATAAGTAGATACAAAGCACAATAAGTTGAGAATGCCTTTCAAAAACAATCATTCTCTTTCTTGTTATTGTCACCAAGTCCCCTTGTCAGTCTGGGATGAAAAACATTGAAAGGGTGGGCATTGATTTCTATGAAGGCTCTTTGTCTGCTCAGGACTTTTAAGGATACATTCATTCAACTTCGACATGGAAGCATTACCATGGGTAGTGATAAAAACCTCTTGTACCCTCCAGATCATAGATCATGGCAATGAGCAAGCATCATATTCACTATCTACGACGATTGACTGACCCAAATCAAGCGCCACTAGCATTACTCTCTCGTCATGTCCGCAAATTTAACAGAGCCACTGGCCCCAGATGCCATGCTCGAGTCCGCTCTGCCCGGATTCACATTTCTGTCTCGTTTTCTATTTACCCACTTCAATATTGACCTGTCCCCTTATTGTTTCATTTTCCTCATCATCATCTGTATCCGTATGGCGTTGCAACACGTTCTGCACTTGTTTGTGACCCCACTAAACTCTGCCTTGGCACATCTTCGTGACTCGTTCACTTGCAGGATCGAGGTAGAAGGCCAGGACAGCATATACAGATACCTCATGTACTGGGTGATACATCATAGATCTATGGCTAAAGCCAAGCATCTCCTTGCCAGCAACGCGCTGTCGGTCGGCGGTCGATATGTCAATATAAGAACCAGCCTTGACCCCAACGAAGACGACGACGAGCCTGAATATCAGCCAGGAGACAACTTCGACGAATGGTGGAGCAAGGTTATCAAGAAACGCAGCACCCAGCCCTTGCACTTCATCCCCTCCACGCAGGAGCACTACTTCTTGTACGCCAGCCCTTGGTTCTCTTGGTGTTTCTGGCGCTGGATCAAGTTCCAGCGCACCAAAACCAGCGAAAACACGTTGGTCAGCGATCGAATCGTCATCTCCTGCTGGGGACTGCCGTTCTGTAATTGGGGGATAGGCATGCTCAAGCAGCTGCTTGCCGAGGCGCAGCAGGCGTGGCTTGACAAAGACCAGGATAAGATCGAGATTTGGAGTGCCCGAGGGGGGGAGTGGCAGCCGTGTGACGGGCGTGCTCCAAGGCCACTGGATAGCGTGGTGCTTGACCAGGAGGCCAAGGCTGGTGTCTTGGCTGATATCGAGAGATTCCTCATGAACAAGGCTGTCTACGAGGTGCGAGGGCTTCCATATCGCAGGGGCTATTTGCTTTATGGCCCGCCCGGAACTGGCAAGACGAGTCTATGTTATACCCTTGCCGGACACCTGAAGCTACCAATCTATGTGATAGACCCCAGTTCCTCTTCTCTGGACGAAACCCGCTTCAGACAGCTCTTCTCTGATTTGCCCTCGAGGTGTATCGTTCTGATGGAGGATGTGGACTGTACGGATATCACACAGTCACGGGCACCTGGGCATGACAACAGGAACCTGCATATGATGATGCCTGGACACGGCCCTACTCAAAACGGCATTTCGCTATCTGTTCTTCTCAATGCCATCGACGGTGTGGATGCAAGTGAAGGTCGCATTCTCATGATGACGAGCAACCACGCCGATAAGTTGGATGCGGCACTGATCCGTCCCGGACGGGTGGACATGCGCATCGAGTTCAAGTACGCGACACGTGACGAGATTGAGTCTTATTTCAAGACGTTTTATTCGCCTCTACATACTCTGAGGCATGTAGTACGGATCCAAAATGAAGAGCGGGTGCCCATTATCACATCTGGAGACGTCGACAGGCTGGCCTGTGACTTTGCCGCACAAATCCCCTCGGCGCAGCTTACGGTTGCTGAGCTCCAGGGACATCTCCTAGAGCACAAAGATGATCCTAAAGCGGCCATCAGGCAAGTAGAGATATTGCTCCAGAAAACTAAGGCTCAGCGCGATGAGCGCGTTAAGAAGCAGATGAAAGAGCAACAATTGGATATGAATAAGGAGCGGGAGAAGATGCTGAACAAAGAGATAGAGATGGAGAAAAGGCTGCAGAGCGAGGAGCCTCCCACTGAGACAAAGATATACAATTTGCGGCCACGGCGGAGAATTGGCTACTAGGGCTCTTTGTATAGAATCATGATGCTGCACTGTACTATATACACCTACATCCCACTGTACATGATGAGACTTGATGATCTACAGTCCAAACTACCCAGAATAGCCTAGTGTCACCCCACAGCTGACCCCAACTTTTTTCTCTTCTGCGCGGGGCAATCAAAGTAGAGATTATCTAAGCCAAACTCCACCCGACTTCTGGAAGACTGGAACTAACCCATCATTATCCACCATCGACCAAAAACAATCCTCGCTTAAGAAGACAAGCGTCAGTGAAGCTTGATCCTATTATACATGCAATACATACAATCAACTCAGCTGCCTCGGTGACCTTGTCCTCATTGTCATTATAGCCATAGAATATGTTAGCAGCGAAGCGCAAGCCACCAAGTGCGGAGACCGACGATGATAATCCGCCGGCGCCTAAAAGAAGCAACAGCCTGGGATACAATCCACATGCGCCCTGGCTACAAGACGCCAGACCATCTCGGAGCTGGCGGACTTTGGGCGAACGGGCTCACCGACCCTCCCTGCCATTGGAAAATATGGTTTCTACGGTCCGAGATCTGATAGACCCGGACTTCGATCCACTGATTGCGCTGCTGGATGAAGAGCCGCGATTCTTGAAGCCGCTTCCAGCACGCACCCCCCCGGAGGACTTGGAATTCTTGCGATTCCGTGGAGCTCTGACAATTCCCGAGAGTGGTCTGCGAAATGAGCTCCTGCGCTGCTATATCAAATGGGTGCACAGCTTCATGCCGGTGCTGAACCTACAGGAGTTCTTGCGGTGTGTGGCCGAGAATGACCCCAACGGGAATGTCAGCTTGCTGCTATTCCAGGCGGTGATGTTTGTGGCCACTGCGTTCGTGGATATCAAACATCTGCAGGATGCTGGTTATGCGACCCGGAAAAGTGCGCGAAGTGTATTCTTTACACGGCTGAGGGTATGTGCGAGCCTCGAGCTACACTGTCAGATATGCTTTTTCTTGTTCTGTGGCTGACTAGGAGCACTAGCTGCTTTACTCCTTGGACTGCGAAGACGATCGGATTGTCATCTTGCAGACACTTCTTCTCATGACTTATTGGTCTGATCATCAGAACAACCCTCACAGAGACATCTGGGATTGGATTGGTGTCTGCAATACACAAGCCCATTCCATCGGGTTGAACAGGGATGCATCCGCATCTAATATGGACCCGAAGATGAAGAGGCTGAGGGCTCGGATATGGTGGAGTCTATACTCACGCGATCGTCTCATCGCCATGGGTTTGAGGCGTCCTACTCAGGTCAACGAGGGGACAAGCAATGTACCCATGTTGCGACTTGAGGATTTCGACTTCGAGCCTTTTCATCCTGCAGTCATTGAGATGTTTCGCTGTCGTCAGCTCGAAGACCTATCCCACCAAAAGCGCCTAGCTACCATGTTCATAGAAAAGGCCAAGCTGTGCCAAAGCATAGGGAGAGTCTTATTCGCGCAGTATTCACCATCTCAGTGCCAATTCGGGGTGACAAATCGAACAACGATCAGTCTGGTCCCCAGACAAGCATCAGAATCAGAATTGGCACGATGCAGCCAGCGACTCGAATCATGGTTGGGTGCCCTCCCAAAGGATGCACAATTCATCCCTACGTCACGAACTAATATTCGGGATGGAGAAGATGTCTTGCTTCTCCACGGCGCAATGGTACGAATGCTATATCATGCGACTACTAGCGCACTGTACCGACCCTGGGCATTTTTGCCCAAGAAGGATCAACCCAAGTCGCGTCTTGATCTAATCACCACAGCGCAGACGAAGATGCAGGAGGCTGTCATTGGTATTACTCATATCATTCAGGGTCTGAACCAGTTGAACCTCACACGCTTTCTGCCACAGTCCGGGGTAACAGTAATTATCCCCGCTGCTGTAGCCCATCTGACGAACTCGTTGTCCGGCAACCCCTCAACGCGAGAATCCAGCATTCACCACTTCCAGCGCTGCATCCAAGTCTTGCAAGGGCTCAAAGATATCTATCCCGCAGCAGACATGGAAGTAGCTAACATCGAAGCTGCGGTCAAGGTCCAATCTGACTGCAATAACGCTCTCTTACAAATCATGCAACTTGACTCTCCTTCATCTCCGAACACCATGCAGCAACCTCAGGCGCGGAAACCAAGTACTGCCTCCACCTCCCGAACTATGCTTTCAGCGGATGGGAAAAATCCCACTCAATGGACCCCTCCTCGAGACGATCAGGAACCAACCGACTCCACCACCTTGAACCTGAAACAATCCGACCTTAGGACCGCCGGCCCCTTCCGAGCCCGCCGCGACAGCAATCTCACAGCATCACCTGCCACCGCAGCCTCTCTCAACGCCAACCCTCCATCCTTACACAAAGCTCAACCCACCCCGCCACACGATTTCGATGACCCCTTTAGTCATGTTTTCCACGATCATCATTCTGTCTCACCCCGCCAACAAAACTCCCAACCCGACCATCAAGGCCAGTCGCACGACAATTCGACCCTAGACACTACGGACTTTTTCTTCGACCTTGACCTCGACCTCGACAATTATGATGCTGACTTTCACTCCCAGGAAGGCCGTGATTCGACCGCTACAGCAGCGACAGCAGCCGACCACACCGCCGCCGCCGGCATGGACATCGACTGGGCGAACGAGCTTCTCCGCTGGGTTGACCCGGACCAAAGTCAGAGCCGTGAGCTGACGTCCGATGACCACGATCGCAACGACCTCTTCCGGATCTTTGACCCCGAAAGCAGTAGTGGCAACGTGCAGCAGCACGAAATGACGGCCACTGGGTTCACCCCTGGGAATATTACGGGTGATCTGGACCGGGATTTAGGGTTGACTGAAGAAGAGGATGGGATGTTTTGATCCCGGGATGCATGGCGACCAGCAACAGCAAAAAGCGACAGATTAGCCCGACACCTACTGTACAGGTGGAACATTAACTTTGGAGGATAGGCACAGTAAATTGCACATATAACAGATTTATCCCCATGTATGTATGTCTTCGTCTTTCTAGTTCTCTACTTCGTACAGTCATAAAACAAAACCCGGGCACTAAATCTGGAACAAGACCCGCGATCGTAAAGTAGTGAGTAAGATAGGTAGCTTGGGAGACGCGCTTCGCTAGGGTGAATTTCAGCAATGGTTAGGGAGTAGGCAGGAGGGCTGCGCAGGTAAAAGTCTTTGAAAGTATCGGTTAGAACGATTATTCCTTCTGCATCCACCGATTCTTCTCATCACCCTGCTCCCATTCATGCTCGATATACCCGAGCTTCTTCTTGACGCTCTGCACGGTTGCCTTGTCGCCCGTATTCTTGCCCATGTTATCACTGAGTTTGACGGCGGGCCGGCCGTTGGCGGTGGAGATCTTGATGACGATATTCAAAGGCTTGGATTTCTCGCCGTCGGATTTGTTGGTGAAATCGTCTGTTGGTGGTTTCCCCGGGGAGTAGGGTCAGGTTAGTTTATGTAGGGTTTTCTCATTATTTGAAAGTAGGTTGCAGTGAGGAAGGCGAGATGGTAGGCTGGATGGGATGGAAAACGTACTTGTGAAAAAAGTGCCCACGCCGAAAACGGGCTGGAAGCCGGCTTCCTCGGCAATGACCTTGTATTCGACGCAGTGCTCGATGTCCAGGGAGTCCGAGAATACGACCGTCTTGGGTTCCTTAATTCCCTCCCGGTCGAAGAATTCCCGGACCATCTTTACAAAGTAGGTGGGATCTCCGGAGTCCTGGCGCACACCGGTGTAGACCTGGGCGTAGGTCTTGGTGGGATGCTCGCCCTGGGAGTCTTGCAAGGGAGCAGAGATGGGAGGCGTTGTGCGTGCCTCGCTTTGGATGGTGGATTGGACCGTCGTGCCGGGCCCGGAGGCAGTTGTGCTGACGGCGCCCACGCCGGCGCTGGTGTAGGCGGGGATAGGTTTGCGGAACGCATCGAGGAAAGCCGGGGTGCCGAAAGTGTCGGTCAAGGCGATGCCCAGAACCTGGTTTTTAGTTAGAACATAGAACGCGCTGATAAGGCCACTTATGCCAGGGGGAAGGGGGGTGGGGTTGGATGCGGGGGCACGTACTCCTTCGCCGAAGCAACCAAGCCAATACCGGAGAGCCATCTCGTTGGCGTTCTCATAGTCGTCCGTGATGGCAGCGATGGTCATGTACCATTCGTGAGCGACAGTGCCCACAGGGGTCACATCGTACTTCATGGCGAAATGGACATTGCTCGTGCCCGTGAACGCACCCTTCCAGCCATGTTTTTTGCCCTCTTCCGCGGCGCGAGATAGTCCCTTCATGACCAGGTCTTGCGTGTGATAGTCACGCCGTCTTCGGGATCCGAACTCGGAGAAGATGCACCCATGCTCTAACAAGGTGCAGCCCTTCCGGAACGCCTTCTCCTCCTGGCAGCTGTAGTCCCAGTCCTTATCGGTGAACATGAAGTACGCTTGGCTGGTCAGGGCCAGCAACGGGATCTCGTAGAGGATGGTGTCCACCCAGAGACCCTTGATAACATAGTCGACATCGCCCTTGTCTTCGTCACTGCCAGTGTCGCCCTCCCCTGGGGTGAAGTGGATCTCGACCTGCTCCGAGGGCTTGAGTTTGAATGTGGTCAGGAAGTGCAGGTAGGCATCGTTGAAGTAGGGACATTTCTTCTTCAGGAATTCGATCTCGTCGCTTGTAACTTGAATGTTCCCGAGCTCTGAACAGAGATAATCTGCGGTTAGTCAGGTCGAGAATTATCGATTCCCTTGTGCCAACTTACTGTCCAGCTGCGCAAGAAGCCATTTGTAAGCACCCCGCGTCAGCTTCATATCGGCAGTGCGGTTCGTGAAGCCATAGGTGACATCTGCGCGTTGGGTTGACCGGTCAACAAAATTTGTGCGCCCAGCAAGCTCTGATACGAGGCTGCTTACAAGTATCAGGGAAGTATTTGAGGATGGCGCATTGCATCGTCAACTTGTACAAGTCTGTATCAAGCAGCGAGCAAATGCCCTCCGGGAGCGGAGGGGATGCTTCTTGAGTCATAATTGGGATTGCACGGTCGAAACCTGGTACAATGCAGAAATATGGGAGACGAATTGGAGGTAGCGATACTCTCCTGAGAGAATTTTAAGCTACTCAAGAGTGCACGAGGTTGGAAAACCCCCAAGGGAGTTGCTTTGCTGCGCGGGGAGATCAACGAAAAGATAGTGTTTGGTTTGTTTGCACACTGAGGGGCTTCTGTCATCCGCGGGCGACGTCATCCAATCTTCTTTACGTCCCATTTAACCACGGTCCACAATTGGATGAATGTTGTTAATTTTTTTTCTGTTGGCACTCGACTCAAGCCTTGAACAGAGGTCTCAATCGCGTGGGAATTCCTGGCTGCATTGCGTGGCCCGCATCTACCGAAGGCGTCATCTCGGCCTAGACTGCCTTTTGCGTCTATCGCCGGGATGCAGACTACCACATATTTACCTTGCCTTCCAATGCATTACGAGCCTGTCCTAAACTGTTGTGAATCCAGAAGAAGATATTATCACCGAGGTGCTACCTGCAACTAGTGAAGTGATCTCGCTTCGAATCCTTTGTTTTCACTCCGATGACTGCCCGGTCATCGGTAGAGATAACTGCCTAGATCAACAAATCCTCACAAATCGATAACACTGCTCGGCCCCACCGTGCGAAGATCGCTAGCGCCGCTGTCATCTGTCTCGATTCGGGGCGGATGCACAACATAGGACTCAGTAGCACTCGCAGTCGCCTGAAAGTGAGCCCATCGGTAGGCCATGAGACTAGCACGGCTATACCTTCTTCCGATTGACTGTCTGAAAAAAAAGTAACACTTTCACATGCTTCGGGGAATGATCAAAATGCAAGGATTATCCTTGTTTGTAGCTGAGTCTTGCTTACCGCAGACGCATCTTGCATTGGCAAGCATACCCCGGGTCTGCAGGACATTACTCGTTCATTCCCGACTACACTGCCATTGGCATATAGAAGAAAAGCACGAGCACTGGACAGGCCTCAAGACGGAATGATTCAATCCAGATTCTTTGACCCTGAAGGGCTCGTTGCCGATTTACCTCGAGTTCTGGCACGAAACTATTTTGGAAATTAAAATGCAAGTGGAAAGAACGCACTTCTCAATCTCCCATCGTGATCTGGGCCTGTGAGGGGTCTCGTGAGAGATTAATCTGCTAGAAGTGATGTATCGAAGCTCAACGACTTGTGTCCTGAGAGATCACAACTCAAAGGCCCGGCAATAGTATACGAAATAAATATCTCGAGGTTAGCAGCAGCTGAGACTGCAACTTCAAAGATTATTCATCATAGAGACCTCAACCCACAGCGCAGAGTCATGTCTATACATAACGCTTCCCCTTGAGTGACCCTGGGAGATGATATGTGACTGCTATGTTCGACAGTGTCACTGGGTTCAAGTTAGACCATCCTACGTATGCAAAGACAAAGTCTAGGCCCATTGGCCGACAGGATCTTCTCCAATCTACTCGCTGAGTTTAGCTGTGCTTGGCCAATTGCGACTCTACACAAGTTTCTATGATCCTGGTTGCTACACTTCAGCCTGTCCATGTGAACCCTGAATCTGGCACTTGATGACACAAAGATCGTAAGAGTCCATGCGAGGACGCCACAATTACTGCTACCTATGACTAGACAAGCATCTCTTGTCTACGGATGTGGCGAGCCGGCGGCAATTGATCAACAGACATAAGATATAGGCACCTAATATGTCCCTCGTCGTGTTATCCCTCCTAGTCATCGTTTACTACATCCTGAGAAGCCTTTATCGCCTCTATTTTCACCCGCTCAGCAAGATCCCGGGACCTCCAATAGCAGCGATTACTGGCCTCCATGAATTCTATCATGATGTTGTTAGAGGTGGAAAGTTTTTCTAGAAGATCGAAGAGATGCACAAGAGATACGGTATACCGGGTTTGAAGTCCGTGCTTGAATAAGCTCCCTTGTTGAAGAGACCTAGGTCCCATTGTGCGGATAACCCCTCGAGAAGTCCAGATCGTCGAGCCCGCCATGTACGATGAGATCTACGCCGGTAACAGTCGCAAGCGAAACAAGGACCCGGTCTTTGTCTCCTCCTTTGCATCCCCATTCTCGGTAATACCCACGATCGATCATGATCTTCACCGCGCGAGGCGAAGTTTGTTGAATCCCTTCTTCTCGAAGAAAGCGGTAATGGAACTCTCCACGGTCATCCAAGAGAAGATCACCCGGCTACCATGGCATCTGGAGAGATTCTATGCAGACGGAACGGTGATTGCACTACACACGGCCTTCATCAATCTGACAGGGGACACCATCACCCATTACTTGTACAGTCAAAGACAAGGGCTACCTATCTGATCCAGATCTTACCAAACGTGACTTCATCTGGCAGCTGATGTTGGAAGGCACCAACTTATGCCATTTGTTTCGATTTTTCCCCACCAGTCCTCAACTGATCAAGGCTCTGCCTGGCCGTTGGATGCGTCTCATCCGTCCTAAACTCGCCCAAGTCTATTCAATGCAGGAGCAGATCGCACAGCAGTCACGAGGCGCCCTGCTCAACATATAATGCCCTCCCTTCGCTGGAAAGCTTGTCCCATCCTACTTGGGAGTCAGCCTAGAAACCAAGCCAAGCAGTTCTTCTTCGCACACAGGGCTAACACAGATCCCGAAACTCCGTTTGCCGAGTAACGAACAGTTCAGCCTATGCGAAATTGTACATGACTATTGCATCGTTCGTGCGGCGGTTCGACCTCGAGCTCTGCGATACTAATCCCTAGGATATGGAATTCGTTCGGGAGAAGATCCTCCAGCGGCCGGAGAAAGGAGTCTGGACGTTGAAGGCGAAAGCGAGGGTCGTGGGGATTGTTTTGGAGTGAAGGGCTGAAAGTTGGTTTTGTGGGCTGGTGGTGCATTTGCCCTGGGGTGATTCAAGTTCCTATTTCCTTTCTCATCAAGTATTGATGATGTCCTGGCAGGTTCCAATTGAGCATTGGGAACGGATGTGTCATTGATCTGCACTCATCTGCCGTAAGAAATCCGGAGACCGTGGGGTGCGTATGCGTGACACCACATTTATGAACTGTTGCTTGATTATGGATTGGATGTGAACAAATTCTGGTGGGAACTCCTGACACCGGGCCCCATGATGCATAAATGTTACAAAGACCAAGAGTAAGGAATTGTTCCGGTTCTCTTTAATACTGCCCTTCATGGCCTTTCTCCTTATCCCCAACGAAGACAAACCAGGGAGGCGGCAAAGGAACTACCCCCATCGTTAAATAAGATAGAGCCAGATCAGACACAAGTAACATATACAAATACATTTCCTTCCCAGCTGCCTATCTCATCAATCCCCTCTCCCTCCCCTGGGGTTCTGACTGTTCAATCCACTAACTAAATCGACCCGAGTCCACCGAAACTCACGCCTCGGGCCAATCCCAGCCGCAGAATCCGCATGATATCTTCACCCGTGACATCATCCGGTAGGCCAGCACGCCAATCCCAGCCTCGGTCGTGGGTTGCGGCGCCTTTCTCTGCGTTCAACCGGGGCACAAGCACACCCGAGCTACCGGTTGAGCCGGATCCTGAGAGCGTGCGTGCTGATCCGACCATCTCGCTACCAATGAAGGAGAAGGTGCTAGAGGCATTGAGAGCGGAGACGGACTTTTTCAGCATGGCACGCGGCGATGGAGGCAGGATGTACGAGTCGGTTGATGAGGATGCATTTGCGTTCTTAGAGGATTGATATTCAATCAAGGTGGAGCGGAAACATTCTTCGCACTGGGCGTAAACGCGAGGAGTGACAGTCTGGAGGTCCTCGATTGCGGAGAGAATGGTGAATTGTTGAGAGACTGAGAGGATGGGGGTTGGTTCTGAAGCCGGTCAGAGTCTACACAAAGTCTATAGCATCACGATTTTAAAAATGGAAAGAACTCACGGTCAACAAACGGGAGGACTTCGCCCAATAGCGTCAAGAGGCCATCAACTTGGACGGCGGAGTCACGGTCTGGGTCATACAGGCCACCATAGATGCTGTCTGCAGCGCTGCTCACGACTGCCACAAGAGCCTGGGCTGCCGCACGCCGTCTAGCAAGAGGCTTGTAACGAGGTTGTTGACCTTCTTTCAGGTTCACTGCCTCGTCGCGGATTTCGTAATATCGGCGTAACGTTGCGTATCCAGAGAAGTAGTATTGCAGGATACTGGCTGCATCTTCGTCGGATCCTGCAATGGCAGCCAGACAACGACCAGGGTCTCGAATCAAAGACTCGAGCTGCTCATCAAGGTCATTCGACGAAGGATAAGCGCGAGACTGCACAAGACTGTATGAAATGAGCAGGTCAACCACGGACTTGACCTTACGGCGGTTATGTGCGCGCGCATAGCACAGAAGAGCGAGACCGTAGTCCTCTGAATCAGCAACGGTAGCATCACCGAAACGCTGGTCAAATTAGCAGCTGGTTGATGAATCGGATAAGATAGGAGATCTAACCTCTGAAACCTTCCGCCCTTCATTGTCAAGATCAAGCTCGGAACAAAGCATAACCACCTTATCAACTTCCTCCGCCGTGTTGAGCGGCAATCTTTCCAGCAGTTCCGAAACACTCTTTTGCAGCTTTCCCCTGTCGTCTAAGCGACTCAGAACCTCGAGAGCGACCTCCCAACCGTTGCGAGTACCATCTTGGCATTCAATTGACTGTCGTTCAAAAAGGCCAGATGCATAGGCACTGATTACATCGTTCTTGTTCACACGAGGGCCGGTCGTTTCAGTGCCTTGGCCTTGACCATACGACAAAACCATCAGATCGTCTTCGCTCAAGCCAGGCATAGATTTCGATTTGGTGGCTCTAGGATTCAGCCAGCCCCCAATTGACGCGACCTCGACTACGGCACACGACACACACAGTGACCATGTCTGAAGCAGCTCAATCACGCCTTCCACGTTGCCCTCGAAGACAGAAGCCAGCCCAACTTCGAGACTACTGAGTGAATTGACACGGAAACTAGCATCATCGCCTTCCGCACTTGTGGCTTGACCGAAAGCGAGATCAAGTCGACGCAAATAGGCATCTTGCGCACTGGTAGGAGACGTATTCCTTGCTGGGCGAGAAAATAAAGGGTTGAGGCTGGTGGGCGGAAGGTCACTAGGGACCTCGTCATCATCGTCACCACCCCACCACACGGTCATGCAAATGGTGGCTTCGAGCCAGTCTTGTGAGTTCTCCATGATGGCATCTTCATCACCGAGCAGAATACGATACATGGACCGAAGATTTTGATAAACCGCCCAGGGTACTTTGCTTTCAGCCATGCGTGCGGACTGGGTGAAGGAAATCGTTTGCGCGGGAGCAGTCGCCTTCAGCCCAAAGTTGACAGCATGGAAGCGGTTTTCTTGAACAGGGGGTTCTGGCGACGCCTTGTCCTCGCCTTCAGCGAAATCTTCCAGGTCTGTTACTGCCGCCAAAACCCGTCTTCTGAACAAAGCCCATTCGGTACCCTTGACATCCCAATCATCGCGTGAGACACCAGGACATGACTCAAGGATTTGAAGAGCCTTGTTGACGCATCGCTGAATATTCTGCAGCTGTGTTCCGCGGTATCCCGCCTGTGGTAGGCCATCTTCTAACGCTGATCTTGCGTAGTTGAAATCGGCAGATCGCAAAAGTTCAACGGCTGTCGAAAGGCTACCTCGGAGAACAGCAGCATTGAGCAAGTCCCAGAAGCTTGATGATGCAGTAGGATTGGGTTCAAACGCCTTCAAGACTTGCAACTCCGACGCAGGAGGGATGTGGTTGGCATCGAGCCAGTCAATGAGAAGTCGGGGAATAGGTGTCGGTGATGTTGTGCGAGGACCACCCAGTAGTAAATTGCGCGTTGCGAAGGGGTTTACTTGGCCGGGTCGATCAAATGGCCGAGGGGGGTGATGCAGCTGTAGAAGGAGTGAAGCCAGAAAACTTGCCTTGGCGATATTTGAGGCTTGGTCGCCCGGTCCAATGCCGTCTGACTCTTGGTAGGGACCACTCTGTCCTGTAGCTGTCTTCCACACATCTGCGAGTCGACTGCAAACATCCGAGAGGGCCGTGCGGAAGTCCGCGCCATTATAGTCGGCTTTTCTGACTTCGTCGTACATGCGGCAAAGCTCGTCCTCCGTGCTCATAACGAAGTCACTCGACTCATCCACTGTAGTCAGCCGCGAGCGAGCTAAGTTGCGAACTATAGATGGCATTGCGGAGTCTTTCTTCGGTGACAACTTTCCCTTGCGCAGAGGTGCTTGACCCGCCCAGCGCTCATCGAGCTTCGGACGCTTGGCGCTGCCTGGGTTTGAATATATAGACTTGCGATGACCAAGCGAGACAGGCTGCGGAGCGATGGAGTCACCGAGCTGAGAATCCAAAAAGCTGAAGCGGCCCCCAGCGTTCTTGCTCGCCTTGCCCACACCCAGGCTGCTTCCCGTCTTGTCCACTACCTCATCCTCTGTCTCAGTCAGGATATCATCTCCCTCTGCAACCATCTGGGAATCCGCAAAGCCATTGGACTGCCCAAAGCGTGTGGATTCGTCAAAGCGAGAGCCATTTGTGATGCTGAACAGGGACTGCGACGCTGCAGAGGATTTCGTTGCGGTTGTTGTCATTTTCTTGGGTAGGGGTGGCAGGTAATCATTTGACATAATAGATGAGCCGAAGATGCTATCATTGTCATTGAGGTTCATGTGGCCCGACTTCGTGAAGAGGGAGCCGGAGCTCATGCGAGAGCTCCCAAAATCGGAAGGCCCGTCATGCGCCGCAAAGGAGTTGGATGCGGATGGTGGAGCCCCAGCCGGGGTGCTGGATAAACCGTCGAAAGGATCGCGGGATTTACCAGGCGTAGACGGCGGGCTAGACTGGAGGTGGAAATTCCAAGACATTGTGTGCTGATGGGGTGCGAGGACAGGGTCTGTAGGGAACGGTTACTGGGCGGGTGGATAGCGGAATTCACAGGAAAAATAGTTGTTAGGAAAGAGGTTATAATTGAATGGCCCCGATGCGGGGGTTATAGGCCGGCGAAGACGATGAACGATGGGCAAGAATGGATTAGAAGGCGCGCAACAAAAGGTGGAGCGATTGTCAAGGCGCAAGCAGCAAAATGGCGCCAAAGGAAACACTGAACATCGCCGATTTGCATGTTTCTTGCTCGTTGCTAGAGATGATCGAGCGAGACGCGCCGGTCAAGGCGGTGAGGCCAAAAGTGACCGTCATGTGATATGTCTGCCTCAGGTGTCATCCACTCCGAGTCTATACCCGAAATGGATGGCTCGTATTCGGCCATGACGATCTTCTATCTTCAAGGCTGTGAACACTGAGCCGTGTCCCAGTCTTCGAATCTGGATCCAATCAACTATTTCAATAGCATGTCTTAAATGCACAGCCCAGACCCTGAGCATCCCACCTTGTCAGACCAACTAAGGGAGACCCTGAGATGCTTCCCATCATTGGCGCGTGGTGGAAACTTACGCCCGAAGCATCTGACGCCCATCAAGTATAAAGAGCCTATGTTCCGGTTGCCCTCATGAAATATAATCCTTCGAGCTATGAGTTTCCCAGTATCACACCATCATGGCTTCTTATGCACCCCCATCTCACTCTGATGCATCCACCGAGCTTGACCCTGGCTCGGTGGATGCTAAGCTACCAAGTGATGATACTATCACCCGTCGCTACAAGATCTCCAACACAGCATGGCGGCATCATTACAATGTAAAACTTGCAGATGATCAATAGCTCTACAGGGTCCGCGTGTCCGAGTTTCGACCCAAGAAGCCAGACCTCACTTTCCATGCTGGGATGGATGACTCCGGTCCGACCGTGGCAGTCGCCAAGTTCCAACATTTTTCACGAGGTATCCACATTGGCCTAGGGAATCCTCAAGCCCCAAGCGAGATGGTGTGGGAGGAACTTACCGGCCAAAGCAAAAGCCACAGCAAATATCGCTGGGAAATGGAGGTCCCCACGAGCAGTGGGCCACGGAGGCAGTCTTTCCTGTGGAAGCGGACACATCATGTCGGCCTCGAGGGTCACACTTGGACTCGGCTCAGCAATCGCAACTATAAGTTAGTTGAAGAGCAAAGCGGCAACATTCTGGCGATGTTCATGAGCAATGTGGCTTCGTACAAGGAAAGTGGCATGCTCCAGCTCTACGTGGATCATGGGCAACAATTCGATCTCATGGTCCTTGCGACAGTCCTTTCCTTGTATGAGAAAGCGAGACGACGTCGACAGAACAGCTCTACCACTGGAGCATGAGTTGAATGTGGTTGTGGGGACTTGTCGGTCCCTGTGGGGGATGAAAGGGGCTATCCTAGGTTATCTCTTTAAACACACTCTTCGAGACTCTGTGAGCTTTTTTGAGATATCTTGACTGTGGGAAATCACAACCATCTCATTTTAATGTCCATGAAATTATAGAGAAATTGTAGCTAGTTGGAAAATTGAATGGACTGTTTATTCACTGGTAAATTTGCGGTTGATGACATAATGTGGTACAAAATGGCTTCTCCAGCGGGGCTTGACAAGAAATACTTTCCCGACGGTGTGAAACTTGGACTTTTCAGATGAGAGACCGATGCAATACTTAGTCAGGTCTGCACTCACTCAGGCACTCTCACCCTATGACTTATTCTTGAACGTTTTAGGAGTCAGGCGTGGCCAAAGGAAATGGCACTCCGACGCCCTCATCGCAAGTCCCGACATGGCTGCCTCGAATGTAAGCAAAGACGAGTGAAATGCGACGAGCTGCGGCCGGTCTGCTCGAATTGCTCGAAACGCATGTCGTCTTGCAGGTATGACTCTGCGACTTCATTACTCTGGACCAACGATGAGTCGCGGTCTCGTCCTCGGCCGAACAAGTCAGGCTCTGAAGGGCCGCCGGGGGAATCCGAATCCACATTTTCAACGACCGCCAATTCGCTTCGCATTCTGGGGAAATTGAACGGCGACGACGAACCTCAATCAGTCGCGTGTCTCAACCTGAGCGACTTAGAGTTGATGATGCACTGGTGCAATTCAACCTACAAAGCACTTTCCCGGCACGGAAAAACAGATGCTATCTGGCAGGCCCGTGTTCCTGAGGAGGCTTTATCCCACCCCTTTCTCATGCACGGCTTGTTGGCCCTGTCGGCGATCCATCTAGCGCGGACGAGGGATGAAGTCAAACGCGCAGCCTACGTGAGCGTTGCCGTAGCGCATGAGAACCAGGCTCTGGCCTTCTTCCGCGAGCAACTGAGCGACATCAACGCATCGAATGCCAAAGCCATGTTCGCTTTTGCTAGCGTTGTCGTGGTCTACACCTTTGGGTTTCTTCATCCCTCCCATGCCCCCGGAACGGATGATCCGTGGGCGTGCATCAATGGCATCCTGCAGGTATTTACCTTGACGCGCGGCGTACAACAGATTCTGAACGAGGCTACGTCGACGATACGAGATAGTGATTGGGGGGCCCTATTTCAGCTGGATGATTACGATGATGTGCTTCCCGATGATGAGCGGTCCGCTCTGGACCGACTGCACGAGATGAACCACGTCTGCAAAGGCCAGGATCCAGCTCATAACTCAATCACCTACGAGCATGCAATTGAGAATCTGGCAGACCTGATGGCGGCGGCTCATCAAGGTGTGACCTCTGTAAGGCAGGCCTGCCGGTGGGCGATTAGGCTCAAGGCCGAATTCGTACAGCTGCTTCAGGAACATCAGCCACTGGCGCTTGTCATTGTGGCCTATTACTGCGCAATCCTTCATCGGCTTCGGGATATATGGTTTGTGGATGATTGGGGTATCAGGGTCCTCAAGGCTATATGGCAGGTTTTGGATGACCAATGGCGACCGTTGCTCGATCTACCCATGGTAGGGACCTTTGGGGATAATTCCCATTGAGCGATCGTCTAGCGAGGAACTTAGCAATTGGCATGAGCGATTGGCCAGAGCCCTGAATTTTCAGACCTCTCTTCTACACCGCAGCGCGTCGTCGAACCTAGTTGATGTGAGTACAATAGTAGTGATTCTCCAATCGACAAATGGAACCTCAGAAGGATCGGTCAAACCCCACGGGTACACTGTACCCACTGAAGTGCTACTAGGTTCCCAATCTTTGGATAGGGACGAATGAGAAATTTCTGTCAATATGGAACCTTGATGCCCAGAGAGACGAAGCGATCTTCGCCAAAATCAGTTCTTTGCTGCCTATATCTCGGCTACTTCGTTTAGCTCGTATTCATATCCACATTGGGTAACAGCCCTGGTCTACTATTAAAGTAGCGTCGCGTCGTCCATCTACTGTCCTGTCTATCTATACCTCTACAATTTACTATCTGGCTCTCCATTTTCCAACACATACCTATACCTCGCTCTCCCGGCATCCATATCTCTCAACGCGACATTCACCTCTTCCATTGGCCGCTTCTCAATCCAAGGCAACACGTTCTTCTGCGCCGCCAACTCCAGCATGGCCCGGATATCCTCGCGTGACCCGATATTCGACCCGGCCAACTTGATGCCCTTCTGAATGAACGACCAAGCCGGCAACTGGGGCAAAGGTTTCTCAGGAGCACCCACCTGGACGAACGTGCCCCCGACCCGCAGCAGCCTCAGATACCGCGCCAGCGGCATGTCATCCCCGTCCACCGTACAGATAATCAAATCCAGGGTCCTCTCGTACTTCTTAGCCCAGCTCTCCTCCTCGCCCGTGGCGATGAACGCATCCGCGCCGAGCCCCTCGACCGCATCCTGCCTCTTGGCCGAGGACCGCGAGATCGCGACCACCCGCTCACAGCCCATGGCCTTCGCAAACAGCACCCCCAGGTGGCCCAGCCCGCCGATGCCCACGACGCCGACGCTCTTCCCCGCGCCTGCACCGTACTTCCTCAGCGGCGTGAAGACGGTCGCCCCCGCGCAGAGCAGCGGCGCCGCATGCGCCGAGGACAACCCCTCGGGGATCCGGAACACAAACTGTGCCGGCCCGCGCCAGGTGCGCGCGAACCCGCCCATGGTCTTGACGGCGGTCTTCTGCTGGAAGGTCGTCGAGTCCCAGAAGCGGTCGTTGTAGGTGCCGGTGATGCGCGGGCAGTAGTTCTCTTGGTTCGTGCTGCAGGCGTCGCAGTCGGCGCGCAGACACGCCAGGATCTGCGCGCCGACGCCCACGCGGTCGCCGATCTGGAAGGCCGAGTATGGCGGCGGGAGAGAGGGCACCGAGGCCCCGAGGCGCGTGATGGTGCCGACAATCTCGTGGCCCACGACGCAGGGGTAGTCGGACGGTCCCCAGCCCGAGCGGAGGGTGTGCACATCCGTGCCGCAGATCCCGCAGTGAGTGACTTGGATTTCGAGGTCGGTGGGGTCGAAGGGTTTGGCTGCGAATGTGGTGAAGGTGAGGGGCTCGGTGGGCGAATGCGAGACCCAGCCGTGGAATTGGTCGGGTTGAGGCGACATCTCGCGAGAGATTGGGTCGGAGACGCGGGGTTTGCTTTGAAGTATTGGGGAGGGGGTTCTGCGCGGAGAATAAAAGAGAATTTAAACACGATGAAAAGCAACGCAGTCTCTTCTTCTTTTGAATAATTTCAAAAGGAGAAAGGAGGGAACGTTCAATCACACACCGCGCAAGGATGAAATGCGGAGATGAAGCGGAGTCCCGATGGGGCAAAAGAGCGGAGGGGCCGAGAATGCCGAGGTTCATCCCACCCCCACACTCTAATGCGATCTCGACCATCGAGTTTGATATTGCAAGACACACAATATACAGTCTGTCTTTCTGGGTTACTATATCAGCAGCATCGCTGACTCAAGAGCCATACAATAATGCTCAGGTCAATTGCTATTCCTCATGAAGATTACACTACGTCCCCCGCCGTACGCCATATATAATGATGCAATAAATTCTCAAAGCACATTGACGACCATGCGTCCTGAAGGTGAAAGAGATAGTATATGTTCTTCTCTTTGTGTCTGAAGGTTATCAAAGTCAAAAGCTATCTTTCAACTACTGCATGATGCGAAGGAGGAGATACAGTATCTAGAAAGAAACTGCTACTCATCAAACTTGGAATGCATTGCGATAGGTCAATATCCTTCTGGGGGCTAGGTTACCATGATAGCTGCCGTTCAAATCAATCTCTTCGGATTCAATTTGAGATGAAGAATCTCGCTATCCGTCTCTCGTACTAATCCTGAACCAAGAACTCCAGTACTAAGCTCAGAGCCAACGTGGAGACTATCTACTTTGGAAGTGGTCAAAATATGAATCCAAGGGTATAACGACCGATCACCTTCTCTTCAAACCCCTCTCTCCTTACACCATTTCTCCACCTCCTTGGCCAACTTCTCCCTCTGGTCCCTCACCATCTCCATCATCGGCTCGACCTGCTTCATATATGCCTCGGCAGCATACCCGGTTTGACCGTCCGGCCCGACAGCCGAATTTCCTTCCTTCTGCGGCGCAAGGTAAGTATCATAGATCGAGATCATCAAGTCCATCACCGCGGATAACTGGTTGGGAAGCCACTACATATCGACCCAGAAGCGTGTTTAGTATCTATCTCACGGGGCGAAAGACTGCCCTCAAGGGTGGGAAGTATAACTTACCGTGACGATGGGACTACCACCGGTAGCAGTAGGGTGTGGGGTGCGGCGGATGATATACTCTCGGGCAAACAGCCAGTGTCTCCATCGGAAGCTCCGAACGTGGTTCAGAGTTTTAAGGAAGAGGATCGCGGTCTCGGTGTCCTGGACGGCGAAGTTGCGAGTGCCGACTTCCTCGGATTTGGAATTCATGTAAGCCAGGAATTCACGATGAGGGAGAGGGCGGTAGGCACGGAACTCGTGCAGGATCTTGGTGAGCGGGGTGGAGGGCATGGGGATCTGGCAGAGGTGGTCGAGGAGAGGGATCTGTTTGTTGTGGATGGTCAGTTTGGTGTCTAGAAGGGGTAATCTTGAGACGAAAACTTACCATGCTGTCGTTCGCACCGCTCTCGCCGCGGAAGAAGAGGGGCTGGTTGTCGAGAACTCCGTCGTAGATGACACCGTTCGGGAACATGGATTGAGAGGTGATTCCGAAGATGAAGACACGGAACGAGAGATAGTCCTGGGGCTTGGAGTTGGCCCACATGTCTAGATGCGGATTGTTAGTGAGGAGGAATCTTTGAGCAACAGGAAGGAAGGGGGAGCGCTTACCTTCCATCGAGGCTTCGATCTTCTCCATGGAAGCTAGAATCTCTCTAAATCCGTCGTTGACCACCGAGCGATCACCCTGCTCGACGTTGTCGACCACCTTGAGTGCTCCACTGATGAGACCATTGGATTCTTTCACCATGTCCACGTGCGTCAAGATAAAGCCGGCTTCGGAGCTCTTGGGGTCCAGACCCTTCTCGAAAGCGCGGACAAGACGCAAGTTTGGATAGTCCAGGCCTTTAGAGGGGTCTGCGAGGGTGTAGTTGAAGAGTGAGTATGCAGCTGCATAGGACATGAAAGGTGGAATGTCGAGGCTGGCCTCAAATTAGTATGAACTGTCAAAGCTCACTAGATCAAGCGTCGACTCACATCTTGGCACAATGATACATTGGACGAGCCACAGACTTCGGCAAAACATCCCGTCCGAGTCCATAGCCCTGGTCAGGGTTTTTACACCAGTTCTCCCAGCATGGCTCAAGAAGATACGACGAGGCTAGGAAAGAGTAGTCACGGAATGCAGCGGTGATCATGTAGAGATCCGGTGCACCATCAGACGTGACCAGCTTATCAATCTCTTCGGTCAGATCAGGAAGCTCGGCCAGAACAGCCGGGCCTAGCTCAGATGTCGCAAGGAGACCTGGAGTGCCATCCTCCTTAACAACAGGGAGACGCTCAAGCAGTGACATCAAAGGCTGGAAGACAGACGGGAGCTTGGTGGGAGAGGTAAGAAAGGGCAGGAATCCGGTAGAGGTGGTGATAGTGAAGGGGTCCAAGGACCGAGGAAGGGTGGAAGGATCATCATGGATATGAGGGAAGCGATCCAAGGTACTGTTCGGGAGGGGAACTCTAGATGGAGACATGATGAAATTATCTATAGATAAGGGAATGAATAGAGGTATTATGGGATGCTGCGAAGCGGTGTGGGGGTGCGAGAAGATGCGAGAGACTCTAAAGTATCGAGTAAAAGGATGAAGAGGGATAGCAGAAGGGAGAGAAAAGGAAGAAGGAGAAGAATAGGAGGCAGCCAGGTGAATGTGAAGTAGGGAACCAAGTAACTGGGTAAGAAGGAAACACAGAAAGTTAAAACCTTGCTCTTTAAACAGTGATTTCAGGGTTCTTGTGCCTGGGAATTGGGCGGGTTTGCAGGCGATTCTTATAGTGCTTTGAGGCCGGTATCAATTCCGGCCTCGACAGCGCCATTACGAAACAGGTAGGGAAACTGCGTGGAGACCTTAGTCTCAATCACGATTACAAGGTAGTACTATATCTGGGCATCTGAGAAGTACCGTATGTCTATTTGTACGAGTCTCTATGCCTATGAACTCTCCCCTAGGTCAATACATCACTGTAAACGCCTGTTCGACGACTCTATACAAACTCTTGGCAGATCAGGGCACGCAGGGATCACGAGGACGCGCTATTCCTTTTCCAGCGGTGTATACACATGTGTTTAGCTGTCTATCCTAAGCTGTGGCTGGTGCGGGAGAACTGATACATTGCTGCTTATTGTTTCTAGCTTATATCTGACTGTATCCTACACAATTTTTGCTCCAACTTGCCGGTTTGACGGACGTGGTGTCCCAGGCTCACAATCACCTACATCATGACCTTGACTATACTTCACCAATTGCCAAGGCTTCAGTCATGGGGTCCTCGCCGCCATTGGTCACAACAGCCGGATTTGGGCAGATTAGCCTTTCGTAGTTGCATGAGGCCGGAATTGAGCCGGCCTCCGGTGGTAACCGGCCTTCTTTATATCAGCGGCCTATCTTTCGTTTATTGGGCATCTCGGAAGAACCACCAACCCGAGCAAAAATGGGTTCAATCTCAAGAACTGATAAGGACTATAGTTCGTGCTTCAACATATCATGTATCTACGTAATAGTATTATAATGTCGTCCCACGAACATTACCACACAGCCACCCGTGCTTTCCGTCTGTCGCATAAGGTCACGGCCCAACGGCCGGGCTGCTCACCACCCACCGCGCCCATGTTGATACTTCTGCTCAGATAGCCTCACTTAGTCGAATTCATCACTCATCCACGTCCTCCATAACATTGATGCTATGTGAATCATAATCTAGCAACATGCTAGTCACATAGTAGCGTGAGCTTGCCATTTAGAGTGCCCATGATTCTACTCATCAGCGTATTCCTCCGTAAGGATTGGAGTGTATGACTCTTTGTCTATTGTACATGGGGTATAATCTATAACCGGGAAGCTGCCGTTCTTTTGAGGTTGAAAGCCATGGCTGCGGTGTTGGGTTAGAGATGATTTCTTCTGTAATTGGCGAAGACATACCAACGCCCGAGCCATCACGTCACACGCCGTCAAACCGGCAGAGGAGGAGTTGCCTCAGGACCCTTGTCCTTGTCCTTGACTTCTTTGCGTTCCGCTAGGTTCGTCTAAGCTTGGTGAGACTTTTTGGAGTTTGCGGTATTCCTCTTCAAGAGCCCTTTGCATCTCGAAGTCAGCCTGTCGTTCCTGTCGAATGCGCTGCTTTTCCATGTCAAGTTCAACCGCCTTGTGCATTGACTAGAGGCCAAGTGATTGAGAAGTCAGCATCTATTTGGGTAAATGGGTGTCAAAGTTATCAACGGACCGCCTTCTCTTGCTCTTGTGCCCAGTGCACAAAGTAGACAATTCCAGCTGTGCCTAGACCGGTGGCGGCCAATGTCAGTTTGGAAGCCCGTGACATGTTAGCTGGTAGTGTATTGAATATTTAAAAATGTCGCAAAAGAAGACGTGGCGAGACTCCCGACCAAGAGGCTAAGTCAATCATGATCCCAGTCTCGTGTCGGCGATAATCGACGATGGCGGTGTTTCGCGGCAGAACCCCCGACCGCCCACGGGGGTCATGCGTGGCGTCGGGGAGATCGGACGGCGTATCACAAGCTCCACGACTCCACCTTATCAAGATATCGCCTTCAGCTCAAATCGTATCCCTTCAAGCATATTCTCACGTCCCAGAGGACTTACTTGCAAGATGGTGAGCGCTAGGAGCCGAGTCCGTTTTTGAAGGAAAAGCGCTAACGCTGTCCCCGATAGTCCGCTCAGAACTCCGCAGGCATTCAGACCCTCCTCGATGTAGGTCATTCCGACTCTGTTTCTACGAAGACATACAATTGACATCAAAATTTAGGCCGAGAGAGAGGCCCAGAAGATTGTCCAGCAAGGTAAATCTCATCTATGCTACTACCGTATACCATGACTGTATGCTGACGTGTCGCATCTTACAGCTAGAGAATGTACTGTCCCGGCCCCTCACATCTTGACGGCACCCGCATTAACACGTTTCATTCAGACCGTACCAAGCGGATAAGAGACGCAAAGGCTGAGGCTCAGAAGGAGATCGAAGAGTACCGCAAGCAGAAGGAGGACGAATTCAAGAAGTTCGAGGCTGAGGTAAAATTATGGCATTACAGTGGCTTCTCGATCCAGGGGTAGCTCGCAATTACTATTCAACAAACGAGCTAACGCTTTCGTGTTTGCTATAGCACTCGAGCGGGTACAAGAAGGCTGAGGAGGATGCGAACAAAGAGGCAGAAGTCAAGCTCCAGGAGATCAAGGATGCCGGGAACGACAAGGGCAGCAAGGTTGTGGAGGATCTTATCCATGCACTCATCGACGTAAAGCCTGAGGCTTCGGAGAAAATCGTGGTCAAGGCATAGATCTGTTGTTTCCTGCAGCAGCGTGAGGGTTCATCAATTTTGGGTTCTTTATTTCCAGCCTGTGAATATTATTTAGCTGTTTGATCATACAACTGCCCATATGTACGGAGTGCGTCCTTTCTAGACTGTCTGCAGCTAGTGGAGGTGTGGGCAATGTCCTTCAGTAGTATGGGGATGCCTGCTTGGTGCATGCGTGATACCCCTTACCGTTGAGATCCTTTACTTTTCCATCCGACATCTGTGGAGGGAACAGGAGTTATCAGACGGGATTTAGCCCAGGCTTAATGGCAAGAAGTTATCACAACGAGTATTAAAATAGCCCCAAGGGATTTTCAGTACACATGTTAATCCCTCAACATACATCTTAAGGTACAGTACATAGTAACTTACCGTATGCTTGGCCATACTTATGCCTCAGGCACTGTAAGACCCGAATAGGCAGTTGTTGCGTCATAAGTTCCTCCTCGGCGCGAGGCCACCCGTGATGTTGGTTTGTATACTTTTGCTTTTCCTCCCCGATCCATTTGCATGGAGAACACGCAGAGTATAAACAAAATGAGATCTGCTGTCACTCAATTCCGTACAGTAAGAAGTCTCTCCCTTTGTCACAAGAGGACTGTCTTCCAGTATAACAATTTGAGGCGCTGTCCCAGCTCACGCGGGTTCCGTTCCTCCGCGCATACAGCGTCCGATGTTCTTGATCCACGTTTGGAAGACCTGGGCAAAGTCATCAGAGATGAGTATGCTGCTATCAGAGATCAATATGGTGAGTTGCATGGCAGATCCTATAGACTTTTCAGCGTGTAGAAATTGACCTGATTTCCACCAGATGCCCCGAAGCACCCTGTCGTGCTTGCGCATGGGCTTCTCGGCTTTGACACGCTTCGCCTTGCCGGCCGTTATCTTCCCGGAGTTCAATACTGGCGTGGGATCGAGGATGCACTATCGATGAAGGGAGTCCAGGTCATCACTGCAACAGTGCCTCCATCGGCGTCCATCGAAATGCGCGCCGAAGAATTGGCAAAGGACATCGTCGCCGGAGCACGTGGCAAGGAAGTGAATATCATCGCGTAGGCTCTCTATTTTCCACAAGATTGACTTTATTTCTTTTATATCAAATATCTAATATTGAACAGTCATAGCATGGTAAGCTTGATCGTCCCAATCACCGTCATCGGAGCTCTTCGTTTACACTGCTGTACAGGGGTAGGTAATTTGAATGCATCTAAGTATCCGTTACGATCATATCCTGATTGACGACGAAGAGGCCTTGATTCACGATATATGATTACACATCTCAAACCAACGGACTTCAAAGTCAAGTCCTTGACTACTATAGCCACACCCCATCGAGGTATGTAGGAGATAGCCAAGTAATCATCTTACTAACTAACTTGACAGGCTCTGCAGTCGCAGATTATGTGCTCAAGCAGATTGGGGGTGTGTTAACTCAACTGCCCCTGCAGAAGAAGAAGCTGAAACTCATGACCAACAGATGACCGCTTGGCTCAGTTGTACTATGCGCTTGAGAGACTAGGAATAGATACAGGAGCATTCGCTCAACTGACCCGGGATTACATGCAAAACACCTTCAATCCTACTACTCCAGATGTGGAGGATGTTCGGTAGGTGGGCTGCCCTGTGAGTGGTGCCGAGAGACTGAGTTCTTGCAGGTATTTCTCCTATGGAGCATCGATGCAGCCAAGCTTCTGGTCTGTCTTCCGCCTATCGCATCGCCTCTTACAGCAGGTCGAAGGGTACAATGACGGACTTGTCAGCGTTGCGAGCAGCAAGTGGGGAGGAGAAGGGGGCTACAAGGGCACCCTAGAAGGGGTGAGCCACCTGGACCTGATCAACTGGACCAACCGATTAAAATGGTTGGCCGGTGAAATAACGGGCAACAGGTTAAGGTATGTTGAATGAGCTGGCGATGCGAAGATGGTCTTCTTCTTTCGCTTTGCCTGTTCTTATGCTACTGCTGGACATCGGCTGATGCTCTGCGTAGATTCAACGCAATTGCGTTTTATCTTGATATTGCAGGTACGAAAAAGGAACCCTGGCGTCACGCCACACCCAGCCTTGTCAAACCATTGCGGAGAGTCTAACTAATGAAATTGATATTCTAGACATGCTTGCGAAGGAGGGTCTCTGATGATGGCGCTTGGGCAGTAACCTCTGTCTGGAATCTTGGTGCCTAGAGTGCATTGGGCTTAGATTTCTTATTCTGTGGTTTGACAGCATACCTATATTCCCAGCGATACCCCTTGAGGACATTACTTTGGATTCTAGGTGTGGAATGCGATACTTGTGACGTGCAGTGCCGTCTATGACGGATTGTAGACTCGTGTTCGATTGGTAGAGAGAAGACCAACAAAGGTGGCGGTGCAACCAGTCAGTCGGACTGGTCGGAGTGGCTGAGTCCCACCCACTGCACTCGGCTCGGCGCATCCAGACTCGGGCAGCCAGCCAAGCCAGCCCTGTGAGAACAGCTACTTACTCGTCGACCCCACGGGAGCGGTTCTGCTTCCCCTGGGCTTAACGTCATTCCCTGTACTGTAGTTCTGCCGAACTCCCGTGCTTCTTTTTCCTTCCCCCCCCATCCCCTCCTTCCCTTTGTCCATCATTCTCTCTCCGCCTGCGTGATTTTGATTATCTAGACGTATATGCAGCCAGTTGAACTGGTGCTTGCTCTTGTCTAGACTTTGCATCAATCCTAAATTCGGTCTTGGTGAAGAGTGAATGTGCGTCTCAGGTGCCGGCCATCCTCAATCTCATCCGTACATATACGGCTTACGCACGGTTCGCCATGTCCGTAACAATCCACCTGGACCGGCCTCACAAGCACTTCACTAACCTCGACGTTCTCGTTGGGAAAGTGGTGCTCACCCTACCCTCCGAAGCTGCTATAGGAGGGATACAAGTGAAGCTTGAGGGTGAGAGTCGTACACGTCTTGCAGGTCCGCGATATCCGCATCATGAGCAGTCGGAGAAAAAGCGGACAGAGATCGAGGTTCACAAGGTGCGTCACTCCACAGTCTCCCAACCCCCACCTTGTAGATCACTCACTGGCAATGGCCAGGTGGAATGCCCCTCCCCATTCAAGCTGTTACTAAGAACCCTTACAGCTCCTGTATAAGGTTGCTACCGTCTTTCCCACACCCGAAGTTTTCAACTCGAAGACCCCCGAAAGGGTCTATACGTTCGCCAAAGGGACCTACGAATATCCATTCAAGTTCAAGGTAATTTCGAAATTGTTTTCGCTGCCATGTTCAGCCTAGACTGATTTCGGATCCTAGTTCCCGTTCAACAATGCCTGCAATTTCCAAAATAGCATGCTCACCAACCTCAACATCACCGGCCTCAAGGTGGAGGTGGCGAAGGATACTCATCGCCATGTGAAGAAAACGCTTCCACCGTCTCTCAGTGGGTTTCCTGGAATGGCCGATATTAAGTACTACGTGAAAGCCACGGTCATCCGTCCACAATTCTACAAGGAGAACATCAGAGGGGTATGTTTTCCCTCTTGTCCGCTGTGACCTCTTCTTATCTCAATTTCATGAGACTAACGGCCGCTGTAAGATCACCAACCTGAATTTCCTACCAATCGAGCCCCCGCGAACAGGGAATCCAAGCGAAGAGACTTACGCCAGACGCCAACATCAATTCTCGGATCTTCCTCCCGTTTCGAAGAAAAAAGGTCTTTTTCAGAAAATGTCAAGCAGTTCTCTTCGAGAAAGCGCCAGCAACGGCCCTCGTGTGTCCGCAGACTTGAGATTACCCAACCCTTCGATACTCACCTGTAATGAACCTATACCGATGCGAATCATTGTCAAGAAACTGTCCGAATCATACGAAACCATCTTCTTGCAGATGTTACAAGTTGAACTAATTTCATATACACACATTCTCGCCCATGACCTCAAGCGGACAGAGAGTGGCACCTGGGTCATGTTGAGCTGCAGCAACATGGCCATACCTCTAGGAAGAGGGGGAGATCCTGCTGAGACCGAATGGACCTTGGATGCTAACATGTGGAACCGCATACCGCTCCCCAGCACTGTAGCTCCATCATTTGAAAC